TTCTGCATATGGATTTGTAGACTTAACTAAGTTTCATAAAGACTTTGAAAATGATTACATAACATTTAGCGATGTTTTATTTACATTAAAGGATATTTCTGATGATGAAAGTAACAAAATTTTAAATATTGAATTAGAGCAAAAGAAAATATCATTTAATTCTTGGTATCATTGTTTAGATTCGGATTTGAGACAATTGTATCAGTTGGAAGAAAATGCACAATTATCAAGAATGAAAGAGATTAAAAATGTTGCCATTTTATTATCCAAGAATCATCCTTTAACTAGCTTAAAGGCAGTAAGAAACAATCTTCAAGAGTATATTTTAAGCACAAAACCAAGTTTAGATGTTCCAAGTTATCATGAATTTGCTAATGAAATGATAAATGGTAAATTTACGCATTCTTATCAGGATTGGAAAATAAATGCTCATCCCTATATTTTGGACGTGTTACATAAAAGATATTTAGATAGTATTTCTACAGTGAAAGAAGCAGAAAAAAGAATTAAAGAAATATATGGTTTCTTTTATTTACAAAATATAGATGAAGCTTTTTCTAAATATAATAAAATCAAAGATATTAGACAACATCTTCGATTTGAGGATTATTATATTTTGTATTCCTACACGCAGAGAAAGAGTTTATTAAATATTGGTGTACAAAGACGACTGGATGCTGCAGTTAATCGACTTGCGCTTAGACAAAGTGACACAAATAGAGTAAATTTAATGTTCCATCGTGCTGAAATGATTGATAAAGATTATGCTTCGCGCCTTTTAGAAATGGAGGAAAAACATTCTATTACACTTAATGAGCATATGATAGTGTATCCAGATCGTGAAAGTGAATTAGCAAATTGTCTAAATATGAAGCGTAGTTCATCAGAAATTCCGTTGTTAATGGATATTAGATTAAAAAATACGGCCGGTCTTGCTGACATTGGTAATGTCATTTCCGAGGGAAATCCATTTTATATCATGTCATCGAGGTCTGATCTTATATTGGAGAATATAGTATATCTTGACAAAATTGGAGATACGGAAGTGGTGATTATGAAAATGGTGGATGGTGGAAGTTCAACGGAAAAAAGAATGGTTAATATCGCAAAGAATCTTGAGCAATTATATTCCACAGATACCAAGTTTTACTCGGAATTTGGTAATTAGATTTCTGTAAAATTTCTTGTTTTTAAAATAATATATACAGTGTGCGTGTCACATATATATATATATATATATATATATATATATATATATATATATATATGACATTAATCAACGTATTGGTGGTGGAAAAAAATATCTACTTCTTATCTAGATTGTAAAATTATCATCTCTGATAATTTCGATTTAACTAATTCGATGGTACATAAACTGAGTTGTAAGGTTAATCATTTTTGTAGTGATCTTCACTTTTTTGGTCGCTTAATACATTTACTAGCAAAATTAAACGCGCGAAATTAGGGATGTCATTGTTTATTATAAAGAAATTAAAATTAATATTATCAATAATATTTTTAATTTATTATAATATTATTACATTGTTAATAATAATTCCTTAATTTTTATCAAATAGAAAAAAATATTTCTTGATTTTTTTTTTATTATCTGTCGATAATTTTTCAGAAATTCTTCAAGAAAATTTTCGATTTAAAATGTAAATTGATAATTTTTAATATAACATATATCGGTAAAGGTCTTGTAAAAATTTCTTATCATCAAAATATTTATCATTAAATAAAATTTTTTATTTTTTATTATATAATAATAAATAATAATAATTATTATTAATCTATTATATGAAATATATAAATTTTCAATTGTCTATAATAAAAAAAAATATTTTGCAAAAAAAAATTATAATCAAAAAATAATAAAAATATTTGTTATTAAATGAAATTTTTTATTTTTTATTATTATATAATAATAAATAATAATAATTATTATTAATAAATTTAAATTAATAAATAAATAATTTATAAATTATTTAAATTTAATATTTAATATATATTATTCAATATTCCTAATTAATTAATTAATGTAACATATATAAATATATATAAAATATAATAATTTAAATTTTATTTTAAATAAAAATTATATAAAAAAATTTTATATTAAGTTAATATTTAAAAAAAAAAATTATTAAAAAAAATTAATATTTAGTCAAAATTAAAAATTTATATGTATATATAATATAAATTTTTTTAATTATAATAACAAAAATAACTATGTAAATATTTTGTGAAAAAAAAAAATTTTATTTGTAATATATAATATAAATAATAAATATAATATAAATAAATAATATAAAATTTTTTTTATTATTTTTAAAATTAATTAAATTATTGTGATGTAATTAAATAAATTTTTGAAATTTGATAAAATTATCAACTTATGCAGCTTACTCTAACAGCAATCGAATCAATTTTTCTCACAATCCTCACAATTTTTTTGCACGATTCTAACAATTTTATAATTTTTAATAATTAAAATACGACCGCACAAATGACAATGTCAAAACATTGAAAAATTTTAACCAACATAAAATAATGTCAAACAACACATTTAAAAAAAACAAAAGACCTATAACAAATACTAACTTCAGGTGTGGACAGAATGAACGAAAGATATTCACGATTATTATATGTAAAAAATAAAAAATAAAAGATTTACGTAACATGTTTTTTTCGACAAGCAATAACAATAATGTATCCATCTAAATAAATAAATATTATATTCGTTATGAAAAAATTATATTTTGATTACTTTAATGTTACCCTTAATAGCATATAATATTCAAATAAATAATACTAATAAAAAAATAATCTCTGAAACATGTAAAAAAATATGAAATGCACATTAAAAATATTTTTTATTTTAATAACTATTTCTGCATTAAGAATTTTTTTCTATTTGTTTAAAATAAATAAAAAAAATGTTCCTATCAATAATTAATTCATAATAATAATTTGATTAAAATTATAAAATAATAAATAAATTATCTCCGTCGATTCAAAATATATTTATTAAATTAAAAAAATGTCCTTTAAGAAAATGAAATAAGAGATTTAAAATTTGAAGAAAGGATTTATAAGAAATGGGGTGTATATATATATATATATATTTATATTTTAATCAGTATATTTTAAAAATTAACATTATTTACATATCAATAGTTTTTATTACACTTACATTAATAACTATTTATATATTATAGTAATTGATAATATAGTTTACAACAAAAAAAAAAATTATTTCTTAGAAAAATTCTTAGAAATCCGTGTGTTTTAAAAAAAGTTATACAAAAGCAATATTCTGTTTGTATCAAAAAAAAAATGTTTTTGAAAATTTTATTAAAGTTTCCAAAAACGTGCAGAAACACTTTAATTTTAAATATAAAAGTATTCAATTCTAACGTTTATTACTTTTTTTTTTATATATATAAATAGATAAAAGAAAAAAAAACAATAAAAATTCATTATTTTGATGCAACTTACGGACGGTTTTAACGCAAAAAACGTTTTTATTTAAATAACGATAGATAGAAAATTTAAATTTTTATGTTTTGCCATGCACATTTATTTTTTTTAATTGAGAAAATAAATTATTTCCCACAAATAATATGTTATATTTTTACAAATATATATATAAAAAGAAATTTTATAAATAAAACGTAAATTTTTATTTACGAATTTAATATTATTAATTAAATATGTAAAATTTAATCAATTTTGCTATATACTTGAATTGGTAAATTTTGTAAAATTTACTATACTTCAGTTGGTAAATTTTATTTTAATTTAGATACGGTAAATTTAACTATACGTAAATAATTATAAATTTAATTAATTATTAATTCATAAATTTAATTAGATTTAGTTTAATAAAAAAAAAAAAAAAAACAATTAAGGAAATTTCTAGTGATTCTATTCTCTTTTTTTTTTGCACAATAGCCGAATGTTAAAAACAGAAACATTTATATTAAAAACATACTATCGACTAGAAAATGTTAATTCTGATAATTTTGATGGGAAATTTTCAATTAATTTAATTCATATTATGTTTAGACTAAAATATCATTTTTTTTTTTAAACTAGAATCATTTAAATTTCATTTATTTCAAAATTATAGATATAATTTATAAATTAAAAATAATCGAAATTTGTTTCTTTTTTTATTATTATTTTATTATTATTACTATTAAAACATTGACTTAATAATAAATAAAAAAAATTCTATACTGCTTAATGGCAGTTTTAAAAATAATACGATAAAAACAGAAATTTAAATAATCACATTTCTGTATATATATATATTTCATGAAAAAAAAAAAATCACAATCGCAGAAGAAAAAATTAACTTGCTTTCAACAATTTATTAATTATTAAAAATTGAAAGATCATTAATTAATTTCTTTTTTCTTCTTCAGTTTTTCTTTTTAATAAATTTCTTCAAAGTATATTAAAACTATATATTTCTTTTAAGTATTTGACAAAATTCAAAGTCTTGATAGTTCAATAATAAAACGAAATTTTCAATTTTTCAAAAAAAAAATTTTTTTTTTCATTTGCATTTCCTCATTTCTTTTTTATTTTTTTGACTTTATTTTAATATTTCATTTTTGCAAATTGAAAATTTCGTTTATATAAAACATTCAAATACATTCAAGAACTTCATTTACTAGAAAAAAAAAAAAAAAAATCTTCCAATGAGAATCAAATATATTTTTAGAATAAAATTCGAAATCAATTAATTTTTTAAATGTAATAGAAATTTTCTTTCAAAATTCATTTTCATTAGTTTTTCAAATAGTTGAAAATTCTCAAGAAAAAAAAAAATAAAAAATATATTGATTATTTTCCAGTGAAGCAAACACAAAAAAAAAGAAAAAATATTTCACTTTTCGAAAATGAAAAGCTGTATACATTTTTAACTAATCGTAAAAAAAAATGAGCTACGTATGAAATATGTAAAATCCATTATACTTTTTGGTAAATTTCTTTTTGTTTTATCATGAAAAGGAATGATTGAGTTGATTTCTATAATAAAGAAAAGAAAACAAAATAGATAAAATTGACCTTTTTTATCTGTAAAAAAAAAAAAGGAAAAAAATCTAAACACAAAAATTTCACGCCCAAAATTCTTTGCAAACAGACAAAATATGGAAGCTCTCATCGATACTGTTCTTTTTATTGTACATTAATAATAATGATTCATTATTATTATTATTATTATTATTATTATTTCCGCATCATGCTGGAACATAGTCAAGTTGAATAGTCAATTGTCGTACGCCAGCTGCTTGAAATATCATTTGCGTATGTGCAAGTACATATTTTGGTTCAACAGTTCGTGCATCAACTTCTAATTTTAAGCAACCAACATAAATTTCTGAACTTAAACTCCAAAAATGTGGCTCTTGAACTCCAATAACACCCGACAATTGTTTCACTTTATTATAACATTGTGGTAATATTTTATCCAATCCCGTTGGTTGTCTTTGCATTAAAATAACGCCAGTCTCTTTTATTAACGGCACAACACTAAATGCAATTAACACAGCAATAAACATTGAACAAATTGTATCGGCAATCAACCAACCAAACCATTGTATCAACAATGTCGATATAATAACACCAACTGAACCAAGTGTATCAGCTAATATATGTAAAAAGACGCCTTTCATTATTTGTGAATTTTGTGGCGTTTCCATATCATGCGAATGATTATGATTATGATGATGATCGTCCACATGATTATGTGAATGATCATGATTATTGTAATTCGAATGACTGTGGTTGTGACCACCTCCTCCTCCATGACTGTGACCATGATGTCCACCTCCATGTTGAAAGACAAAAATTCCAATTAAATTCACCATTAATCCAGCAACTGAAATAATAAATAGTCTCTCGTGTTTTATTTCCGGTGGTTCAATAGCGCGTTCAATTGCCTCTGACATAATGTGCATTGCAACAACAAGTAATGATAAACCATTGATAAAACCGGCTATTACCTCAGCGCGTACATAGCCATATGTAAAACGTTCATTGGCACGTTTTTTTGTTATAACCGATGCAACAAGACCAGTTATTAAACCCGCACAATCAAATAACATATGAAATCCATCGGATATTAAACCTAAACTATTACTCCAAAATCCATATGATAATTCAACAAATGCAAATGCAAAATTAATAATTAAAAATGAAAATAAATTTCTTGTATTTTTATCAGAGAAAACAAGACGCAGCCAACTTTGTATTTTTTCTTTGATCCTTGTTAAAATATTTGGATTGTCACGATGATGTAGAGGAAGCATTTTATTTTAATTGTGTCCAACTTTTCAGGAAATTTTCTGTAAACATTTTTTTAGTTTTTAATATTTGTATTTTGTAAACAAAAAAAAAAAGAATTATTAATTTTAAATATTAATTAATTAATTATTTATAATTTCTCAAAATTATTCGTTTCTTAACGTTTAAAATAAAATTTATAATAATAATAATAATTTATTATAATTTATAATATATAATAATAATAATAATAATTGTTAATAATAATTGTAATAATAATTAAGTATTAAGTACCTTAATATAATTAATAATAATTGTTAATAATTGTTTATAATATTAATATAAAATAATTTTTTTTTAACAAATTTTTTGAAAAAATTGTACAATTTGCAAAATACATTTTGAGCAAATATTTTCTATTAAATAATAATTATTTTACTTTTTTTTTGTATTTTGATTTAAATTATAAAATTAAAAATATATTATATTTTATTTCATTTTTTTTTTTTTTAATTATTTTACTTTTTGTATATTTTATTTTTTGTACCTTTTACTTTACTTTTTTTTTTTTTTTCTTTTAAGTTGATGAACAATTGTAATTTTTATCCAATTTTTCTATTTACAAACAATCGCTGAATAGAATTAATAGTTGAAAATTTCGTTTTAAAAGTTAATAAACAAATTTAATTTTTAATTTTTTAAATATTTTAATTACTTAAAAGAAACATCAAATCAAAATTGTTGAGAATCTTTTAAAGAGAAAAAAAAGAAGCTTAAAAATTGAATAAAATTTAGATTTTTAAATAATTTTTAAGAAAAAAGAAAAAAATAATTATTATTTGGCAATAAATTTTGATTCAAAGAAAAATTTGGTTTATTTTTTTTTTTTTGTTTTGAAAATTGTAAATCTTTCAAAATTTGTAAATGTAGTAAATTTTAGAATAAGAAAATAAAAAATTTAAGGAAATACAATGTTGAAAATATTAATCTCTTTTTGAAATTTTTTTTTTGCAATAAAAAAGATTTAACAAAAAAAAATTATGCTGTTTTTTCTTGCTGTCTTCATAATAATTTTTTTTTAATTAAATTAAGAGAAAATAAAGAATTTAAGAAAATACAATGTCGAAGAAAAATTAGAAAAAAATTTTTTAAAGAAAAATTACGAAATTTCTAATAAGAAAAGAAGAAGTTGCAGAAAATTATTTTTTTTTTTACGAGAATTTTTGGTAAAATTATTTTACAAGAAATAGTCGGAAGAAAATAGGATCATTAACATTGTTTTGAATAAGCGAAGATAAAAATTGAAAAATAATTAAGAAAAATGTAGATAATATAAAATAGATAAAAATTAATATATGCTTAAGGATTTTTCTTTTTTAAATCAAGCAATAAAAATAAAGGAATTTCAATTTAGAAAAAACAGTTTAAAAATAAATAAATAAATAATTAATTCAATAAATATTTATTTAATACATTAATTAAATTTTATTATTACTTTATTTTGATATTTTATTTTTAATGAATTAATAATGTGAATAAAATTATTATTTTTTTGAATTTGAAAAAAAAGAATATTATTTAAATTACAGCTTCTTTTACAATTAATTAATAAAGATTAATATTAATATATAAAAAATTAGATTCTATTTTTATTTTTTTTCATTATTTTATTAATAATAAAAAATTAATATTAAAATTAATAATAATTTTTTAAAATATCACCAAAAAGAAACAATAAAATAAAAATTGTTAATTATTTATAATAATTCATAATAAATTGTTAATTAAAAATTAAATTACTAAAAATAGGTAAAAAAAAAATTAAATCCTATAATTCAATTAAAGAAATGGAAAATTCCTTTATTTTAAAAAATTAATTCAACAGAAGTTAAAAAACCAAAAATACTTTAAAAAGAATCAATTTTTTTTACTTTTTAGTTTTTTTTGTTTAAAAAAAATATTTTTTAAATTATACTCTCATTTTATATTCTAAACAAAATAAATAAATTTGTTTAGTAAAATTTTTGGTATTCGTCAAAACTCAGAATTTTTACTGTTGTATTTTTATAAATAAATATAAAACTAATTAAAATAATAATATAAAACTAGAATTTTGATAAAATAATTTTTTTTTCGACATAGATTTATTTAAATTTAAAATAAAAAATCAAAATTTCCCGAAAAAAAGAAACAATAGAACAAAAAAATCAAGATTTTCGTAAATATAATTCTAATTAATGCATTTATGGAAAAAAAAAAATAAATAAAATAAACTAAAGAAAATATTTTATACATATCACCATTAGAAAATAAAATTAATTTTTAAAAAAATTGACTTACCGTATGGGAAGCACATGTGTAAACGTCACAGGAAAATTTTAACGTCATTCAATAAAGATAGCGGCTGATTATTGACTTAACCTCTTTTTTTTTTTAAATAACTTTGAAGAATTTCATTGATATTGCAAAATTCGTATAGGGAAAATTATAATCTGAAAAAAAAATTTCCTTGATTATTTGTCTCGTTATTTTAGATATACACAATAAAAAAAATCACGATAAAATACAAAGGTTATGTTGCATATTGAATTATCTAACCTCTATATCGAAAATTCTTGCACTTGTCGCGCCTGTCAAAAATTATACATATATATATACAAAAAATGCACAAACTTATTTACGTGTTGTCCACTAAAAATTGTTGCATATTTCACCCCAAAAAAAAAAAAAAAAAAAAAAATTCCCACCACTTACAAAATTCTTTTTAAATATTTAAAAATTATTCTAATCATTGTTTTAACAAATTTGTTACAAAATATAATGATTTCAATGTTGATGACGTCCACAACACGGTTGGGTCGCTTATACACTTATTCCATTACTATTCGTAACTATATGTAAAATATGTATTAAAGCCGCGCAATTCAAAAATTATAAATTCCAATAATAATTAAAAACTTAATTTTATTAAATTAAATTATTAATTAATTTATTTATTAAAAGAAAATTTTTACTAAGAAAATAATTTACAAAATTCTTCATGGAAAATAGTATTTGTAATGAACGCCTAGAGGAAGGCAACACTCATTACACAACAGCAAGTATTTTCAGCGGGAAAATTTAAAAATTCAAAAATACTAATTTCTTTATAAAAAAAAATATTTCATTTAATTTTCAATAAAAATTATTTAAATATTTTTTATATTAATGAAACTTACTTCAAATCGAAAAAAAAAAATAATTCATTTGTTTTCCTTTTTTTTTTCACACACAATGGCAGTTTTTAAATGACAAGCTTATCTTTTTTTTTTTCTCATCCGTCTTGTACTAAAAAAAAAAAAATATCTATTTAAAACAACCAAAATTCTAGTGTTTTAACGACTGTTTATTAATAATGTCAAATTGTAAAATACGAATATTGTAACATTTACTCTCCTGATCAGTTAATTTGCATAATAAAAAAAAAAAAGGAAAAAAAATTGCTATTCATCACTATTTTTCTTCAATGACTATTAAAACAGGTTAAAAAGGTACTCAATTTTTTTTTACCTTTAAAAATTTATAATTTAAATGAAAAAGGTTTTCTCCCTTTTTTATAATAATTTTTTTTTTTTAATAAATAATTTATTTATTTTAAAGAAACGTACTTTTATTAATAACCAAAAAAAAATAATAAATTTAGATTTTAATGGAACGTTAAATAATTTTTTTCACCTCCATATGGAAAACTATGTGATTTTTTATGGATTTTTTTGAACAAATTTTTCTACATAAACAAGTGGTAAAATTTTAATTTTATTAAAAATAAATATATTTTTCTATCTTATTATTATTATTATTATTATTTATTTATTTTTACTGTAATAGAAAATAAAAGTTATTAATTTTTTAATAGCAATTAAATTTAAGTAAAAAGAGAGAAAATTTGGAAACGTGTTAAAAAAAAAGAAGAAAATTTTTTTAACATTAAATGCAGAAAATAAAAATTTTGATCAGGAGACAATAATTTTCCAATGCTGAAATTTTGGTATGGCCTCACGTTTAAGCCCTCGAAACTCGGAAGTAAACGCTCTTGAGCAACGTGGCTATTTTCTTGGCAAAAAAATTGGACAGGTGGAGAAAAAAAAAATTTTTTTTTCATATTTATATAAAAGATTAATAAAAAAAAAATATATTGTTTAATATTTTTTATTTATTTATTATTTATTTTTTAATATTTATTATAAATTATAATTAATAATAAATTAAAAAAATTATATTAATTATTAGTAGAATAATTAATATATTAATAAATTTTGATTTAAATATAAATTAATAAATAAATGAATTATAAAATTAATTTACAAAATTATTACTAAATATTTATTATAATATAATTTATTTATTTATTTATTTCTATGATTTTTTTCTACGATTTATTTAACTATTTTTTGTAAATATTTATTTACTATCGTTTTTTTAAAAAAAAAAATTATTATTTTTCAAATAATTATTGATAATATAAAATTTAAAAAAAAAATTATTTAATTGATTAACAGGGTTCATATGCCACTGTTCATTTGGCTGAATTCTCAGATGGCGTTAATCCAAAGAAAATGAAACTTGCTTGCAAAATTTTTGATAAGGATAAAGCGCCTCCGGATTTTTTAGATAAATTTTTTCCCCGCGAACTTGAAATTTTAACGAAAATTGAAAATCCTCACATTATTCAGGTTTTTTTTAAAAATATTATTTAATTTTAATTAACATTAAATTAATTAATTAATTTATTTAGTAATTAAATAATTCAATTAATTTAATATTAAAAAAAAATTAATAAAAATATTTTCTTTTACATAGGTACACAGTATTTTGCAACGTGGTCCAAGAGTTTTTATTTTTATGCGTTACGCTGATAATGGTGATCTTTTGGATTTTGTTAAAAAAAAGGGGGTAATACCAGAGCAACAAGCAAAATTATGGTTTCGACAAATGGCTTCCGGTTTACATTATCTTCATGGCAAAAATATTGCACATCGAGATTTAAAATGTGAAAATATTTTACTATCACGAAAATTTAATGTGAAATTAGCTGATTTTGGATTTGCAAGGTATTCATAATTTTTTTATTTTTTTGCATAATATATACAGAATTTATTGCCATTATTATTTTTTTAAAATTAACTAAAACACGATTCTTGTTTTATCAAACGAGAAAATAAAAATTTCCCTTACCGACTGTTGAAAATGTAGAAATCTACTGTGACGTCAGTCGGTAAAGAAGGAAATTGTTTTGCCAACAGTCGGTAAAGAAGGAAATTGTTTTTACCAACAGTCGGTAAAGAAGGAAATTGATTTACCAACAGTCGGTAAAGAAGGAAATTGTTTTACCAACAGTCGGTAAGAACACTTGTTTTTTCTTCTTCTAGATTTTGCATTGATGACGATGGACGTCGTGTTTTGAGTCAAACTTATTGTGGATCAGCAGCGTACGCAGCGCCGGAAGTTGTATCCGGTACACCATACAATCCAAAATTGGCCGACGTTTGGTCATTGGGCATAATACTTTATATAATGTTAAATGCCTCAATGCCATTTGACGATTCAAATTTACGAAAACTTTTAAAGGATCAAATGTCAAGAAATTGGATATTTCGTTCACGTGTACGTGACGCAATTACGTCACAGGCAAAAAGTATCGTTAGACATATTCTTGAGCCCGATATTACACTTCGATTAACATTGGATCGTGTATTGGCGCACGATTGGGTTCGTGTGAGAAAAGATAAAAGTAATTTAATAGCTGGAAGACTTGTACATTCGGCGCCTCCAATTCGACCACAAGTATAAAAAAAAAAGAAGAATGGCAAAAATATACAATTACATATTTTTCCATTTTCATTCATTAAAATTCATTGATAAAGTAGATTTTCTACATTACCGACATTTTTTAGCCAAGACTCAAACCAATCTGTATTGTTTGTTCTACCAAACATTTTTTTTTTTGGTACGAGTCTCTGCTAACTGTTGATAAAAGAAATCTCTAAAACAAAGTTTTTTTTTTCCTTTCTAGAATCCAAATCATTCGGAAACTGATTCTAAAATTGAATCCGAAAGAAGTAGTGTAATTGGGAAATCATTGAAAAAATAATGGACGTGAAAAATAAATTAAAAAATAATTCCTTCAAATAACTCTCAAAAACAAAATTCACAAGAACAAAAGAAATTTTATATCGTAATTTACTGTAACAAAAATTTTTTTTTATAACTTTACACCTTTTTTGATAATGGTATTTCATTTTTATTTCTCTTTAAGAAATATGATTTTTAAAAATATATACTAGAAATTGTTCTACTCTACCGACAGCTGAAAAAGTAGATTTCTACTATATCGACCGTCGGTAAAGAAGAAAACCACACAAAAAGTAACATTATAGCAAAAGTGATTAAAAAATTTCCTAAAATTATATACAAATACAATTTTGCAAATAAATAAAAAAAAAACTCATCCTTTTGTCTTCAATTTGCACTTTATTTGAATCTGACATCAAATTAAAAAAATGAAACCACACAATCGTGTCACTATTTTGGCAAGCAAATGTCAATTATTACTATATTCTCAAAAATATTTCTTTATAATCATTAATTGCTTCTTAAAAAAATTAAGAACTATTTTTTAAAAAAAAATTGTTATTTTTATGATAAAAAATAAATAAAGTAATTAAAATATTCATAATCTCTACTTAAATAAAGCAGACTTTAATGTCCCTTAACGTTCCATTCGCGAAAAACTGCAAGTATATGATTCAATTTTGTCTTCCATTCCATTAAATCATGAAGAGAATCGCACTGTAAAAGATGCCTGAAAACAAAGATTAATATTTTTTTTTCTTTTTTTCGATTAATTTGAAACTTACAAATTCTATATTAGTGACATTTTCTTAAAATAAAATTCTTGTCTTATGAAACGAGAAAATGAAAATCTGAGTTACCGACTGCTAAAAAGGTAGAAATCTACAGTGACAGCAGTCGGTAAAGAAGATAATTGTTTTTTACCAACAGTCGGTAAGAATTCTGTTTTATCGATATTTTAAGTAGAATAATTTTTTTCTTAACAATCGAAAAAATCTGCCTTACCGACTGCTGAAAAAGTAGAAATCTACTAAATCAGCAGTCGGTAAAGAAGAAAATCGCTTTACCAACAGTCGGTAAGAATACTGTTTTATCGATACTTTAAGTAGACTAATTCTTGTCTTAGCAATAAAAACAAAAAAAATCTGCCTTACCGACTGCTGAAAAAGTAGAAATCTACTGTGACGTCAGTCGGTAAAGAAGAAAATCACTTTACCAACAGTCGGTAATTAAAATTTCAAACTAATAATTGCCTTAAAAAATGTAACATGCCAAAAAAAATATAATTACTTGATAATAGTACAGCTTGGACGCAATTCCATGACACCACTATTTCTGTCATCTTTAGTTCTTTGTCGCGATACCTCAATGACAAATGTTCTTGGCCTTGCACAAAGTGTTCGGCTAATTGTCGTCACATGATCGTTTAATGATTCCATCAAATTAATTGTCAATAGTGGTGGTTTTACTTCCTGTTCACGTGGATAATTCCAAAACATAAGCATATGTTTTTCTAATACACACCATCTACGATTCCAAACCGCATAGCCACCCATTTCATCACCATAATTTAAAAAACCAGAATGATAACCACCCACGTCGAAGTGACTCTTTATGGTTAAATCTATTGAATTATGTAATACAGAATTTCTTGGCATCTGCAAAATATAAACGCCACCAAAAAAAAAAAAATTAGAACTACCTTATCGACTGTTGAAAAGGAAGAGATCTAATGTATCAACAGTCGGTAAAGTAGAAATTTACTTTACCAACCATCGATAAATAAGGAAAAAAATTGAACTATTTGAAGATAAAAATTGTATCAACTTACAGATAATAATGGCCACGGTGGATACAGAGAGAGATCATGAACTTGTAGCTCAACATATCCCTGAAGAATAAAACTAGTTTCCCTAATACCGGAGAATTTAATCTCATGACTTCTCATTGAAACTGAACGTTCTGATCTCTTTAATAATTTCGTTGGCGATGGACATGTTGTGTCACGATCTAAATTTTTTACATGAATTTTTTCGGCATTTGAAATATGAAATTTAGTACTAAAAACTCGTACAAGAATTTTAAAATCGGGATTTAAATTTGGAATTTTAATTGAGCCGGTGAATGGAATTTTTTTATTTTGCTCATCAATGGGACATGTAACCGCCTGTGTTGACCATACAGTTAAACCTTGTGAAACAACAATGACAAACCATTCGACAATATTTTTTTCTCTTTCTCTCTCTGAAATTATGTCCTTTAATGTTAGAGAAAAATTATCGACAACTATCTCGGCTTGTTGAATAAATGATGTTTCCACTTTTGTACTCGAGGCAATGGCTTTTATTTCATGAAAGAGAGCTTGTTTTTTAAGTGTCGCTATAAGTAGAAGACGATCTGATTCAACTTGTTCTGGTGACGCTTGAAACATTTTCATTGATCGACAATAGTCAAGTGCTTTACTTGCTTGATAAATACGTGTTTGTTGTATATTCACTTCCTGTATAAGTGGTTGTAATTTTTCATTAAGTTCATTGCTTATTGGTAAAATTGGATTCCATACTTGTTTCATTGTTTCTTTGAGACTTGGACGAAATTTCTGAAAAATTAGAGCCTTAATTTTAAAGGCACTCTCACACCTTTTTGGCTGCCTGCAAGTTACCATGGCAACGCATGAGAGTGAGTGCGACAGAAAATTTAAAAATTTGAATATTCAAATTTTCTGTCTCACTCACACTCGTGCGTTGCCATGGTAACCTACAGGCAGTAGGCAGGCAGCCAAAAAGGTGTGAGACTGCCTTAACCCCAGATAGTAAAACTTTGGTAGAAAAGTACCCTAGGGAAAAATTCAAACTACGGCCCTGGCAATTGCCAATGACCCTACCTAAACGCTACTGCGCTTGCGCTACGACAACTCTCTTATAGGTCGAAAAAAGCGCGCTTATATAAAATGCTTAATAATATGAAAACGTTAATAGAACAATATTTTCACTATTGAATTTATTTTGTTAGTTAATTATATAGCTTCATAATAAAAAAATATTAATTTACTTAATTCTACTTAATTATGTAATAATAATAATAATAATAATAATAGTAATTATTATTATTATATTAATAATTTTATTATATTTATATCATTATTGTTGTTATTTTTTTTATAAAATGTAGGTATAATCTATTATTATTATCATCAATTTAATATTTATTAATTAATTATGTAATATATTATTTATTTTTGTTATTATTATTATTAAATTATTATTAATTAATTATCTATGATATATACATATATTTTTAGAAAAATTTAGCGAAATTTTGTTGTACTTTTTTTATGAGAAAAATTTGAATTGGGAAAAAAGTATAAATTTATTGAAAATAATGATAATAATAATAAATAATATAATAATTAATTTTTAAATATTATATTCATAATAATAATAATAATAGTTTATAAATATTTTATTTAAAATTTATGACAATAATGATATAAATATAATAAAATTATTATTATTATTATTATTATTATTATTATTATTATTATTATATACTTAAATATATTAAGGAAATTAGTATTTTTTTTATTAGGAAGCAATATAATTAACAAAAGAAAATAAATTCAATGGTGAAAATATTTTTATATTGCTTTATTAAAGTTTTCTTATTATTAAGCGTTTTATATAAGCGCGCTTTTTTCGACCTATGAGAGAGTTGTCGTAGCGCAAGCGCAGTAGTGTTTAGGTAGGGTTATTGGAAAGGCAACTCTGCCCTGGCTTAACGGTCATAGCGGCACCCTAACCTTAATTCAGCTTATAGTTAATATCAATTTTAACCCCAATTATTTACTTTTATAAAAAAAAATAATTATTTATTAATATTATTGTTTGCCTGACTTTTTCCTAACCTTTTTCCAACTTTTCTTTAATAAATATTTTAATATTAAAAAAATGAAAAGTATCAAATATTAAAGTATTTTTATGATAATAAAAAAAACATTTTATTTATTAGCATTATAAACTTTTTTTTGCATCGAAAATTTTTTCAAATTCATAAAAATGTTCATTTTTGGCAAATTTTTAAAAAATTTCCCTGACCGCTGGACAGCCTGATATGTTTTTTTTTCTACAGAAGCAAATACTAAAAATGTTACCTAACCTAAAAATATTAGAATATTGATACAATGTTGTGAATATTACTGCAATTTTAGGTGTTGTGTATAAAAATTTACACTCCTAAAGTGAATAGGTTTTACAAAAATGAATGCAAATGCAAAATTGGCAAATAGGGCCATAGTCATTGCCTAAAATTATATAAATCATAGAGGAGCAAACTCAATCACATTAATATGAACCAAAGAAGATGGAGCTGCAGTCGTTAATTTTTTCTTTTTTTAATATTGGCGCGAATTTTTGAATATTTCATTAAAATATTAAAAATTAAGAAAAATAATTAGAATATTGGCGCAAATTTTTGAATATTTCATTAAAATATTAAAAATTAAGAAAAATAATTAAAAAAAATTAATAAAATATTTACATAAATAAAAAAAAAACTAAAAAAAATTTAATTCCATTTAATCAAAATTCATTAAAATGAAAATTAATCTAAATTCTCCTGAAATGAAAATTCCGTTAATTGTATGGCAATTCCGTTAAATGAAAAAATTTTTTTTAATAATCTTTTTGTTGAGAAAATTCTGCTTAGATAAAAATTTCTCTACTAGAAAAAAATGTGATAAAAAATTTTAAATATTTGATAAAAAAATAAAATAAAAAAATTTTTTAATTTAAACTCACCTTTTTAATACGTTTCGATAATGATCTATAAGCGCTGATTGTTCGATTCAATGTTGAATGTCGTGAAAAATGTTGTTGTCTATTTTCACTACGCGATGAATTTAAAAGCAAACTATTATTAAGTGATGTTCTATCGCCTGACAATAATTCAGTTGCATCTAAATTTGAATTTGTCTTATCCAAACCATATGTCATTGATGTACAATATAATTCTTCGCCTAATGCTTCCTCTAAAAATTTCTCCACCTCAAATGATATTGAACAATCGGAAATTCGTTGACTTTTCTTTTCATTATCATCGGGTGTTGCCGGTGAATTTGGATTTATTGATGATATTATACTTTCAATATGTGATGGTGAATTGGTTGTTGTTGTTGTTTTTTTCGTTAAATCATAATTTGATGATTTTCTCGTTGATTCTAAATTTGGTTTTGTTCTCCATGGCATTGGTGTTTTAAATCGAAAGAAACTTGAATTTCTTCGTACAAAATTTGTTGATTCAATTTCAGTTTTTGTGTTTTTCTTTGATTTTTGTTTAAATTTTTTTTTATCCATTTCATTTATTGGCGTTTCAATTATTTCTTCTTTGAATTTATTTTCTTTCTCTATATTATTTTCAATTGATTCTTGATTTTTTTCAATTAATTCTTCATTTTTGTTGATTGATTCGTTTTTTGTTTCTTGAGATATTGATTTTGTTAATTTATTTTCAATTTCTTCGGATTCTTGAATACTTTGATTGAATAATTTCCGTGGTGTATAAAATAATGATGATGATGATGTGACCAATGATTTCGGTGAAATTGGAAATTGAAAAAATTGTTTTGGTGTGAGAGATTTTTTTAAAACATCAGGTTGAATTTCAAGATTTTTTATCTCCTCGTCTAAATTGTCAATGATTGATGATAAATCTAATGATTCATTTTCAATTGATTGTGTTTCATCATTTAAATTCTCGAGATTTTTTGATATTGATTCAGCGTTCGGAAGTTTTGTAATTTTAATATCATCATTTGGAATAATAATATCTGTATTATTTTCATCAATCATTTTACAAGTGACTTTTAATAATTCCGGTGATTTGTTATTATCAAAAAAATCAATTGCATCATTCCAATTGTTATTTTTAATTTCTAAATATTGAATATTTTCATTGTCAAGACCCTTAACAAATGTTGAAAGTGACAAATCATTAATTGAATTTTCCATTAATTTTTGTGATTCTTCTTTTGGACTTTCAATTATTGACGAATTATTTTTATCATTAATTTTTATATCATTTTTGGAAAAATCAATATTTTGTGTTGAAAAATATTCCGTATTCTCCTGTTGTTTTGGTGAGAGAAATTCATCAGGTGATGTGAATTCTGATTTTGAAAAAAGAAATTCTGAACGTGGTGAAAAAAATTTTAATGATAAATCTTCTTTTGGTGAAATTGGTAAATTTTGTTTCATTACACAATTTTTTGTTGATATAAATTCTTCACTCGATGTTGTTATCATTTTTTGAAGAAAATTACTTTTTGGCGATAGAATATTATTACTATTTAATGATGATATTGTTTTTGATAAATTATTATCATCATTAATTTGTGTATCTAAATTTTTTATTCCTTTTTTATTCATACTTTCAAAATAATTATTAATACATTTTTTCACTGTATCCTCCCATTCAACATGTGATGATGATTCATTATCATCATTTTTTTGACAAATTTTTGAATTATTTTTACTACTTGTATCGGATAATTGTGATAAATTTTCTTTTTCAAATTTTTGTGATTTCTCCATATTGTCATCATTTTTTAATTCGGAAAATTGATTTTTTTGAAAAAATTCATCAATTGTAAGATTTTTCGGTGAATCATTAGTGATATTTATTGTTGATGAATTTAATGATTCAAAATAATTTGCTGGTATTTTTGACCATGATGTTGATGTAATACAATTATTTTTTTTATTACTTGTTTCATTATTTATAATATTGTTGGCATTTTTTTTTAAACGAATTTTACTTTCTTTTTTTGTTATTTTAAATTTTCGTTTCTCAACTTCTTCGTTATCTGTTGGAGATAAAAATACGAAAAATTTACTCTTTTTTTTTTTTGTTGTAAAAATATTAGTTTTTAAAAGAGTAAAAAATAAATAAATAAAATTAAAAAAACGAAAAAAAAATTCCAAAAATTGTTAATTTATAAAATATATGAATTAATTTTAAAAAAGTTTATAATAATAATTTATTATTATTATTATTATTGTTTTGAAATATAAAATTAGATTAATTTGTTATAATTAAATTAAAATAAAAATAATTTTCGATTTAAAAATCAAAAAAAATATATAAAAATTAAATTTAAATATAAAAAAAAAAAATATCTTACCAATTGATTGTTCATCTTGAGAATTATTATTTTCAATTGCTCGTAAAATATTTAATTTTCTCCTCAAAGAACTAAAATTAGATACTTCTTCATTATTTCCTTTTTTTAAACCTGCTCGACGTAGCATTCGCTAAAATAAAAACAAACAAATAAATGACCTTTTGTTGAAGGAGATTTGATTTTATCAATTTATTTTATTTTTTGCCTAATTTTATTTTTCTTTAATTATAAATTTAAAAATCATTAAAAAAAAAATCTTTTATTTAAAAAGAAAAACAAAATTTTTTTTTTTTCACTTACACGAGTAAATTGTTCTTGTTCCTCGTCCATGAAGTTTAAAATTTAATTTTCCTTTTTCTTAATTTTAATAACGAAAATTCCAAACCATTCGAAGGAAAAACTGTTTCGATACTGAATATATAAATATAAACATAAACACAAATTAATTGAGAACAAAGTAGGCAAAGCAAAAATTTTAATTCCTAGAGAAATTTGACTATATTATATACGTAATTATTATAATTATACGTGATTTATATATTTTAAAAATAAAAATTGTAATTTTATAATTGGTATTTAATTTAATTAAAAATTATTTAAATTTATTTAGAATGTTGAAAGTAAAATGGTTTTATTATTAGAAAATTTAATATAAATTATTGTTTTTTTCTAGATTTTTGTTTATTAATTGTTATAAAATATTAAAACAAATTGTTTACATACCTTGTGTCACATGGAAATCGCGTTTTTTTTCAAAGGTTATTTATGCAACAGGGTTGAGTAGTTGGTTACACTTTTATTATCAGAGTTGGGAACTATTCAATTCTCGTTCAAAAAAAACAGAAAAACTGATTTAATTGAATTATTTTATAATTTTGTATAAATACTGTTAAACCTAATAAAAATAAATATTCATAATTTCAATTTATATTCAATAAAATTTGCAAAACTGTAATTTATAAATATTTTACACAATTGCTTGTGGAAAAATTCGTGGATTAGCTTTTCAACCCTGCGTGTTACAACAGGTGCGCGCGCTTACTCTATTCTAACCTAAAAAATAACGTTATACCGGATGTGTCAAAAACAAACATTGCGCGTTTGAATTATACATACATATATATTATTAGTTTTTGTATAATAAATAGTTAAATTTCCACGTAAAGAAAAAATGTTTGAAGCTCGTAGCATAACTGCTGAGCATAAAGATTTGATTCACGATATTGCTTATGATTTTTATGGACAACGCATGGCAACATGTTCCAGTGATCAATTTGTCAAGGTACGAAAAGATTTCTTATTTTTTACTATATTTACTATATTTACTATATTTTTTTAATTTTCAAAAGATATTTATTGGATAAAAAAAGTAAATTACTCTTCTATCTGAGGCTGTGATTTTTTTTTGTTTATTGCCAGTTTGAAAATAATGATTTGTTTTGATTTTGAGGTTATGTTAGTGTCTTTGCTATTCTCGTATAGATATTTTTAATATTTTGCGAAATTTTAAAATAAAACTAGTTACAAAATTTATGTAAAAAAAACGACAGAAAAATAATAAAAAAGAATATACTCGCAATATTGAAAAGAAATATTAAAATTTTGGTTTTCGTAAAATTTTTCTTTGAAATTGGGTTTTCATTCTATACAAAATTTTCATTCAGAAATTTTTTTCTTTTTTATTAAAATAATTTTGTTTTCTATAAAATAATTTTCTTTTTCGGTAAATACACTTTTATTTTAATTAAATTATTAAATACAATTTTATTTTAATTACATTATTAAATACAATTTTATTTTAATTAAATTATTGAATACAATTTTATTTTAATAAATTATTTTTTTATTTTGCCATTGAATGAAAAAAAAAATTCTTAGTAATAGAATATTCTTTTTTTTTTTTATTAAAATTTTGTTTTCTATAAATAATTTTCTTTTTCGATAAATACACTTTTATTTTAATTAAATTATTAAATACAATTTTATTTTTATTAAATTATTGAATACAATTTTATTTTAATAATAAAATTATTACATTATTAAATACACTTTTATTTTAATAAAATTATTATTTTTTTATTTTGCCATTGAATGAAAAAAAAAAATTCTTAGTAATAGAATATTCTTTTTTTTTTTTTTTATTGAAAATAGAATAATTTTAATATACATTTTTCTCTTATTATTATTATTTCTATATCGGAAATAATAATATACAGAATCTTTATTTATTTATTTATTTAAATTATTTGTTTTAACAATTTATTTAAAAAAAAAGTTAAAAAAAATTTTTTTTTTATTTTTCTAATCAATAGACAATAAAAAATTAATGTATTTTTGCAAACAAAGAAGAAGATGAAAAATTTAATTTTAGCTTTAGAAAAAATATTATTATTAACATTTTTTAGGTTTGGGACGAGGATGAGCATGATATGTGGCATTTAACGGCTTCATGGAAGGCACACAGTGGTTCGGTATGGAAAGTAACATGGGCACATCCTGAATTTGGTCAAGTTCTTGCAACTTGTTCTTTCGATAGAACCGCCGCTGTTTGGGAAGAAATTGGTATAAAAAAAATAAATTTTTTTTCGTAATTAATTTTCATTAACAGAAATTTTTTTTCGAAATTAATTTTCATCAACAGAAAATTATTTTCTATTTTATTATACAGGTTTAAAAAAAATTCAAAATGGAAAATATTAATATTATAAATAAATTAATATTATAATAAATATAATAAAAAATTAATATTAATTATTATTTAGAAAGTAAATATAAAAATTTCCAAATTTTCAACTTTAAAAACAGAAGTTTAATTTAAAAATTAGAATTTTTTTTTAACTATAAAATTTAATATATTAGAATAATTAATTAGGAATTTATCGTTATTCCCGATAATTAATTAATTTTCTTATTCCAAAGGGGATTTTTCATATTTTTTTATTTTTGACTCAGTCGGCGAAGGTTCGGGACCAGGTGAACGTGGAATGCGTCATTGGGTGAGAAGAACAAATCTCGTTGATTCTAGAACATCTGTAACTGATGTTAAATTTGCACCAAAAACATTGGGATTGTTATTAGCAACATGCAGTGCCGATGGTGTTATTCGAATATATGAAGCGCCCGATGTAATGAATTTAAGTCAATGGACACTTCAACACGATATTAGCTGTAAATTACCCTGCAGTTGTATTTCATGGAATCCCTCTTTATCTAGGTAGAATTTTATTTATTAAATTTAACGAAAAGGGGAAATTTTTACAATTTCATTTTTATTTTTGAAAAAATTTGTTTAAATTGCATTAAATTTAATTGTTACAATTTTTTGTTTTAATCGGGGAAAAAAGTTTAATTTTTTTTTTTTTTTTTAGATTACATCCACCGATGATCGCAGTTGGCAGCGATGATACAAATACATCGAGTGGAGGAAAAGTATTTATTTACGAGTACTCGGAAAATGGAAGACGATGGACGAAAACTGAGACATTGTCAAATATTGTTGATCCTGTTCATGATATTGCATTTGCACCGAATTTAGGTCGAAGTTTTCATACCCTTGCAATTGCCACTAAGGACGTTCGGATCATTACTTTAAAACCAATGCCGTTAGTATTTCATTGCTATTTTCCATTTTTTTTTTCTCCCCACAAATTTAGTAATTTTATTTTCATTGAAATTAAATTAGAATATATTTTTTTTTCAATTATATTTCATATAAATAATTGTAATAGAATGTAAATGTTTCCTTTTTTAAATTCTTGTTTTTCGAATTCAGAGACTCGGCGCAAAGTGGATTGTCACGATTCGAAATAACGACGACAGCACAATTTGACGATCATTATTGTACTGTTTGGCGTGTATGTTGGAATATAATGGGAACAATACTCGCGAGTTCCGGTGACGATGGCTGTGTACGTCTATGGAAGGATAATTATATTAATAATTGGAAATGTGTGGCTGTATTAAAAGGCGATGGTTCAGCGGCACAAAGCGCTGAGACGCCAACATCGGCTAATGCACAAAATTCCAGTCATAATACAAGCGGTAATCAAACGCCACTTTCAACAACAAGGTACTATAAATTGGGTTCCATCAGTCATCCAAATCAAGTACCCTGGCACTGATATGGCAAAGAAAAGGGGGAAAAAAAGAAAAATTCATTTTTTTGCCATTTTTTCTCGGAGTATTTAATTATTTTTTTCTTCTAAACGCAAAAAATTAGCATTTTTCTCAAAAAATTATGGTTTTCTTCACTCTCGTCGCGGAGATTCTTTTTTTTTTTTTTAAATACTCTGAGTAATTTGTACATTCGCACTTTTGGTTATTTTTATTTTAATTAGTTATTGTTTCTGTATTTTCCGAATTTTCGATTCTATCCTCGGCGATCATTTTTTGTTTCTACAATTTTCGGGAGACATTTTTTTTTTCTATGTCTCATTTTTGTCTGTAGTTCTGTATTTTTTTCCAATTTCTTTTTTTTTGCGTTTCATATGGTTTTAGTTTTCAAATGATAAATTTTCTTCTTCTTTTGTTTTGTAGTTATTTATTTCCGATTTCTTTTTTGTGAAAAAAAAAAAATTTTTTTTTGTAATTTCGATTTATTTTCGTTTTGTATTTAATTAAAAATGTGTTTCCGTTTTTTTTTTTTAAATTTGATTTTTGTTTAGACGATTGTATTTGAATTGAATAATTGTACTTTTTTTTTTGTTTTTGAATAAATTGTAAATTTAGTATAGAAGTTGGATTTCTTTTTTCATCACCTTTTAAAAGAGAGATTTTATTATTTTTTATTTTATTTTATAGTTCACTTTTTTTGTTGATAATATATATATATATATTTTGTTTGTTTGTATTTGTTGAGAATTTTTTCCTTTTACTTAAAAATGCACATTTTATTATTATTAGAATTTTTGTTAAAATTTGTAAAATTTCATTTTCGAAATTTAATTTTTTCTCCCTTTGAATTTTTTTTTTTTATATTATTTTCTATATTTTTTATCTCATTTAATTATTAAACAAAAAAATTGTAAATAAATCATTATTTTATATATAATAATAAATATATACTAATAATAATAAAAATAATAATAATAAATATACTAATAAAAATAATAATAATAATAATAATAGTAATAATAATAATAAATTTTATTTTATGTAATTTATTTAATTTTTTAATTTCTTTTGTCACAGAATTTTAGTTTTTTTCTTTAATTTTTAAATATTTTGTAGAGTTTGAAGACTAAATGTTTTAAAAAATATTCTTTTTTCAAATTTTTTTTTTCCGGGTTTTGAGTAAATTTGAAGGGCAATTTGTTAGTTTCAGAAGTGTGAGTGTCGCGACTGTCACGGCAGAGAGACCGTCGATCAACGTTTCTACGACGAGTAAATGGCAAACTCCGGTTATTAAAGGACGATTCAGTAAATCCGTATGGATGGGAAATCCAAGTGAAACAACTCCGCCACCTCCTCCTATTTTAGATCATTCAAGACCCAAGAAATAATTCTGTAAATATCACGAATATTAAATATTGTTCATTTATTTATTTTTATTTATTTTTATTTTTTTTGCTTTTTTATTTTTAAAAAATGATCTCATTTCGATTTTTCTTATAAATTGAAAAAATTGAAATTTTTCTCTTTCTGTTAATTCGAAATAATTTTCTCTCATTTCTTTTTAATTCAATTTTATTTTTGTTTAATTTACTTTTCATTTTTAAATTACTTTTTTTAAATTAAATTTTCTTTTTTTTGTAATTTAATTTTTGTTACTATTTAATTTATTTATTTATTCTTTTTTTTTTGAAGTATTTCGTTTCTCTTATCATATTTCGAATATTGATAAGTTATTCCATTGTGTTCAAAGAATTGTTGACTTTTTGTCATGATAATTTTATCAAATTGAAAATTGTTTGAATTATTTTTTTTTAAAAAACAAAAAAAAATTCGTTGTAACATTTAGTGAGACATGCATTTAAAATATTTTTCCTAATAGTATTATTTTCTCCAAAAAATACTCGACTTAATTTTTAAGAATTGAGTTTATTTAATAAAATAATGAAAATAAAAAAAAAAAGAGAAAAATCTGGCATTTTGTATTTCAGTAGTTTAAGAAGAAAAAAGTATAAAAATTTTTTTTTTGCAACAAAATTTTTATTTTATTATTATTTTATTTTTATTATTTTCAAGATTTATAAAAATTTAAAAAAAATCTCTACAAAAACGTAAAAAATTGAATTTGATTTTAACGTTTTATTTTTTACTTGTCGATTTTTGTTTGTTTAATTTTTTTTCCCCCACCAAATTAATAATTGTGAAATGTCAATTTACGAATTTAATTTAGGTTATTATAAAATGAAAAACAAAAAAAGTTAAATAAATTTTTATAATTTAATCGGTAAAATAATTTCCTAATTATCTTTTTGTGCGATAATTTTTGAATTCGAAAAAAATTATTACCAAAAAGTAATTATAAAAATGAATGAACCTTTGAGAAAATCTTATTTTGATATTGTGAAACGTAATTTACGAGCAGCGGATCGGGTAAGAAAAATAATTTTTCTTTTCCTATTATCCTCCTTCAATCTAATTTTTATTTATTATTAATTTAAAAAATAGCTATAATTATTTTATTTTATTTTTTTTTTTGACTGAACATTTTTATTAAATTTTTTTTTTTCAGCTTATTTTTTGTACAAGATTCATATATTTTGGCGAATATCATGATACAGCGGAAAATTTTCAAAAGGCAAATTATTATTTAATGTGTAAAAATTTTATGTAAAAAAAAAGAAATGTTTACAATTTTTAATTTTTGAAATTTACAATTATGTTATAATTATAATTTACAATTAAACAGCAAATTGTGAAAATAATGGACGAATTGAATTCGAAATTCAACGATATTCCCATTTTTGGATTAATGCTAATTTATCAAAAATATTTTATCCATCTTGTGACAGTAAGTGTTTTATAATTTAGGATCGATAATTTTTTTTTAAAAATAATTAATTTTTTCAAATAGGCTCCAGAGGAAATGATTTTCAGGCATTTAAAGGCAATATTTTTTGACACGGAGGAAATAAAATTAGGCAAAGTTCTTCATTTACCAGTTCAGCATCACGTTTATCGAGTAAATATATAACTAAAAGTTTTATAAATATTTTTCAAAAAAAAAAAAATAAATAAATAAAATTTTTATTTTTCAAGAAATTAATTTTTAGCCATATTTAACAAAATGGTATTCAATAATTACGAGGCCTCCAATACTTTTAGAAAAATTGGAGAACACTGAACTTTCGGAAATTGAGAAACACGTTGAAAACATGATGATTAAAATTTATAAACTTTGTGAATTTTTAATGGACACTAAATTGAAATCTGTAAAAAAAAAAAAATTTTAAATTATCATAAATCTGGTTCTATATTTATTAATTTTTTTTTTTAATATAATTTTTTTCCAAAAATTTAAGGACCAATCAATTCCTGAAATTTTGCATAATATCGAAGAAAAAGTACCCGAATTTCTTCCCGAAATTGCCATCTTGGAATATTTATTAAATTCAAATTGTCCCGTTTTTTATGATTTACGTGTACGTTTAAAAATTGTCGTCGAAATTCCCTACGTTAATTTTCATTCAGGTAAAATTATTTATGAGAAAACTTTAAAATAAAGAAATCTCTAATTTTTATTTTTCAAATAATTTTTCAATTTTCTTGTAAATTAAATTAAAAAATAATTTTCGAAATTTCTAAAAAGAAGTTTTTTAAACTAAAAAATTACTGAAATTTTATGGAATAAAATTTTTACGAAATCTTATTTTATATATCTATTTTTGTATACTATATATATAAAAAAAAAATTTATTTCCTTTTTGTAGACAGAGTTTGGCCGACTCCTTGTAACTTCATGCCAACGTTTTCATTTTCCGCAACCACGTCAGCCAAAGAAAGGGAAAATAAAGAAAAGTCAACACCTTAATATCCCTTGACATGTTGACAATGTAAAAAGAATTTCACGAGAAAAATATTGAAAAGAAGATATTGTTTTTTTATTTTATTTTTTAGTTAAATAAATATATTTTTAAAATTATTAAAATAAAAATATATTTATTAAAAATATTTTATATTAAAATAATAATGAATAAAATAAAATGACATGGAAATAAAAGTTGTCATTTGAATAAAAACGATTATTTATTGCAGAATATTTACAATATATAAAAAAAAAAACAGTTCTGTATTCTGGGTACATGAAAGTTTGACTTCAAACACTCTAAACTAAATACACAAATTTTACTCCAATATTTATTTCACATTTTTTTAACAGAAAAGTTTTTTTTCTTTTTTTTTGGTCTTAAAAATATGATTTACATTTTTTTTTCTTATTTTTTTTTGGGACATTCACAGACAATTTTTTATTTAGAAGTTTTGAAAAAATTTCTTATTTATAAAAAATTAATTGATTTTAATTAAATTTTTTATTTATTTTTTTTTGGAAGTGTCTTTATTAGCTGGAACGAACGTAATTTATTATTTCTATATATGTGCTTCATGGAAGCAATTTATTCCATACTTTAATTTTCATTATATTCGCTGAGTAATTAATTTCGAAAACTTTTATCAAAAGAGAAAAAAAAAAGTTGTAACATATTTATCAATAAACAAATGTTGAAAAAAATTAAATAACTAAATATTTAATAAATTTCTTAATTAAAAAATTTGTATTTTTTTTACTGTAGTAACAACATTTTTTATCTGATGATAAAAATTCTTTAAAAAATGATGAAAATTTTTTGAAATTTTTTTTACAATTTTCTTTAATGGAAATAAAATTGCGTTTCATTTTATTTTTCATCAAAATTTCAGGGAATATATTTAAAAAATGTATTTTGAAAAAACATGATTATAGTTGTGTGTGTGCCATTTAAATATATTTTCATATTTAATTCAACATTTATTCCCAAGAGAATTGCAAATAGTACCCATGAAAATAGCGATCTGTCTTATTACATGTTATTACATTAGATGTGCAATGTTATTTATATTTTATTTACAATTAAGCTTGCATTTATCAAATTATTTTTCATTTTTTTTTTTAAATACTCTTTTTTTCAATTTTTTCAAAAATTTATACATTATTTTAATTATTAAAATATAAGTATAAATTTAATTGTTAAAATAAAATTTTACATTTTTCAAAGAAATAAATTATTAATTATTTAGTTAATAATATTTATTAATTAATTTATTATTTAATATTAGGCAATTAATTTGAAATAATAAATTAATTTCTTTTTCATTAATTAAAAACGTGAAATTCTCATTCAGTGAGATAAAAAAAATTTATATTGAACAAAAAAAATCATTTTAGAAAAAGTAAAGAGTATTTGAAAAAAAAAATTCCAATAATTCTATTTATTTAGTATGCTCTGTTAAAAAATTGTTTTTCAAACAGATCAATTTTTTTTTTAAATTCGTACACGAGAACAATGCAAATTGACTTCACGATGATTATGATTGATTCACAATATAATTATTCATCAACATCGTGACTTTCATATTAAATTCATTTTTTTTCATGCCAAAAAATTTTTATTTTCAAAACATTTTTTTTTCTATTTCTTTTAATTGATATTTGTTTTCAAATTATATAGAGAAAAATATTTTAAAAAACAAAAAAAAAAGTTATAAAAAAATATTAAATATCTGTGTTTCAGATTTTATTTAAAAAAAGGGAGAAATTTTTTTTTTTTTTTTTTTAGGTAGAGGACGAGAAAATGGAATAAAAAATAATTTGAACAATAGAAAGAAATAAAATAAAAAGTAAATAAAGGAAATAAAAAACAAATATAAATTTTTGAAAATATAATAATATAAAAAAAATGTAATAATTATTTAGAATTAATTAATTTAAAAAATTATTATTAATTTAATTTAATTTCAATTATAGAGAGTAAAATAAAAAATTGTTTGGCAGAAAAAAGATAATTTTTGCTTTTTCAAATCGGACGTGCTTTTGGGAGGAAGAAATTGCCAACTCTATATAATAATAATTGTAATAGAATTAAATAATTTAAAGTTATAACAATAAAATTGAATTTTGTCAGTATTTCTTTTTTCTTAATCGATTTTTAAGGAGTTATCAGAAATTAATTTCAAAAAAAAGTAAGTAACATTTTTTTTTCTCTTTTATATTAATTTTTATTATAAAATAAAATTAAAGAAATTAATTTTCAATATCTCCCTTTTAAAATCGTGTGTACTATGCAGTCTATGAATAGATACCAGACCATACAGGTGCCTCCGATCATTTCATTGGCTGCAATTCAAGGTCACTTAACGATGATTGGTTATCGTTTCATGACCTTGAGTAACGTCCAATAAAAATAAACAGGGGAATCCCATCTGAGACAATCTTCATTGTAACTACAAATTTCCACCGTGTAAAGATATTTATTGCATCCGGATTCTAATTTTTTTTTTAATATATTCTTTTTTTTATGTTGATTGCATATTTTTTTTTTTTTTGCAAATTTCATTGATTTTACACAATGTAATTTTTAATTTTTTCTAATTTTTCAATAACAGTTTATTTCAATTCCATCATTGGCAATGAATAACAATTCGTTTTTATAAATTCTTTATGTTCAAAAAATTTTTTTTTTTTTAAATTTTCAACTCAGCGATAAACATAAATATTTGTGGAGTATCAAACTCACTTTTTCTTTTTTAAATTTGCGATTTATATTTCGCAAACTCTGACTTTCTCTTTCACTCTCTTTCTCTCTCTCTCTGTAACTGATAATATAATGGAAAATTTGCTATTATACATATATAGTGCGATAAAAACTATTTCAAAAAAGAAAGAAATTTCAAAGTTTTATATTTTAAATTTAATGTTTTTATTAAAATATTTCAAAAGTAACAGAAGGTAAAAATTCCGTTTTTTACCAAAAGGTTCTGTTTCTTTGTTAGTTGAAAAAAAAAATTATTTTTAAATAATAAATGATTGAGATAATAAAAAAAAAATTTTTTTTTTATGGGAAGCAGCCTTATTTTGATAGGGCACTTTTTCCCACCCCACAAAAAGAGTGTGGATATGACAATTTTATTTATCTCATCGCGATAGCCTAAATGCTATATTAATGATTAATGGGTATTTACGTTTTCCAGATGATGAAAAATTCCAGTGACATTTTTCTTATTTGTTAAACAGGCAGTAATAGAAATTCTATAGCATAAATTTACGACAAGTTATAGAAAGTTTTTTTTTTTATTATTATTTTCGATCGGCGTTGGCTAATAGTGAGATAAAAAATTTTATTTTTTCTCCAAAAAACAACAGTATATTTTTTTTTTTTGGTATGACAATGATTAGATTTAAGAAAAATTTTCTATTTACATTGTATACAGTGTAATTTTCACGTTTCTGTATAATTCGAAAAAGGCGATTTTTTCCGGTTAATAAACCCTATTAGTAAGTGAAGGATAGAAATATCTCTCTGTCTCATTTTTTTTTCGAGTCGGCAAGTTTGCGCATGCTTCAACATACCAAGAAAAGCGCGCGCAAATTTGAAATAAATTTTGTTTTTGAATTGTATTTTGGATATTTAATAAATTATTTTTTATTTCAAGTTCTTTTTTATAATAAAAAAAAAGAATTAATCGGTAAACATAACCTCAAATTGTTAAATTTTTTATAGTAAAAAAATCGAATAAAGAAAATATTCGCCTCTTTCTATTGTACAGATAAGTGAAAAAGAAATTGCGAGACCATTTAAGAATAAATTGGACCGAATAATAAATTTCCCCCCTTACATAGTTATAATACTTTTCGCTCAGATATGTTTCCTTTGCCAAAAATTGAACATCGTCAAGTCCACTTTATTCCTGACTGTGCTCATGTTTTTTTTTCCTTTCTTTCATTTTAACTTTTTACATAGTAAATTTACATAGACATGTACCAGTTTTACTCATATATTCGATATCGCAAACTTGAATATTGTACATATTTTATATATATATATATATATATATATATAATTAAAGGGATTTTCTTTTTATATATCACTAGCAATCTTGTATAAAATATTCTTGTTTTCAAAATATTTACAATACACACAAAAACGCTCTCGAAAATTCGTACATTCTCATTTTTTATAATAATAATAGTTTTTATTTTTTTAAAAGTATAACTTCGAGTTTCCTTCGATGTAAAAGGGCACTTGATTGAACATAGTGATTTGAATTAATTACAAAAATCGTTGGATGATAAAATCATTTATTTTCTCTCTCTCTCAAAAAAAGAAAAACTATGTCACACATTCTGGAAATAAATTCTAGAAAATTTTTTAATTCTGTATTCATTCAATAATAATTTTTACCTTTTTTAATTCTCTTCTCTCCGTTATTCTAGAAAATTGTTCCTTTCATTCCGCATGATGGAAATGATTAATTCCTAGTCCCGATTTTGAGTCTCGGTGTGTGATTTAGGGTCACACTGAACTCTCTCTTTTGGTCATAACAACTGGAGTGCCAAGTGATGTCTCTTTTTGCGATTGAATACAGCATTGGCCTGGAATTCTGGCTTCAACTTCCTTTGGCAAAATTATACTACCTGGACAAGTTCGATTCACCACATTCATACTTTTGTATAAAACCGATGGACTTATTCCTCCCATTGTCATCGATTGAACACTATGACTTGGCCAATGTTGCCTTGGCAGAGTGCACATTCCACTTTCGTAAACTTCACTAACTATCGGCTGAAACTGGAATTTCAAAAAAAAAAAAAAACCCCATAAAATATTATTAAATTTTTTCCTATGTAATTAAAGTTAATAATTAATTTTTTTTCAGATAATCTCTAAATGGTGGAGTTCAATTTTGAAAGGAGATAAAAAAAAAGTTATCGCAGTGAAGAAAAAAAAGGTTTGTTTTATATTAATGATGAATAACAATGAGCTTAATTGCTTAATAATAATTTAAATTCGGCTACTACTTTTTTAGTAACAAAAACAAATATGTCATAATTCTCGTCAACTACCACACCCTGCTCTAGTGAAAATTTAGTAACTTTTAATTTTAACAATAAAATCACTAAATTACATTCTGTAATTTCACAACATGGCTTTATGAAAAAAATCGTTTAATAATTACAAATCTTAAATGTTTTACTGAATTCTCTAAAACATTTGACAAAGTTGATTATAGCATACTACTACACATCCTGGATTCATTTGGATTTACTCGCGGGTTTAAATTATGGTTTGATAGTTATCTTAAAAATCGTTACTTGTCTGTATGTATTAATAACGAATACTCGATACCATTTATAGCTACTTTTGGTGTTCCTCAGGGATCTCATCTGAGTAATTAAATAAATTAGGGTGCGGTGTTTTAAGGAGAATTATGACAAAAATGAATGGGGATAATAAAAACCAACCTTAGCGACATTCTAGTTAAAATGAAAGATTACTATAAACTAAATTTTCACTAGAATAGGATTTTAGTTCGACAAATAGGAACTTTGGTTAATTGAGGGACATTGATACCTTTACCGATTTCGTCTTCTGCTATTATTATGTATCTAAACGGGAAGATTTTTGAAATAAAACTTTCTAAAATCGTTAAGAAATAGTAAAAATAAATTTAAGGACCTAGAACCTAACCCCGTAGGACTTACCGATTGATTTTAACGTAATTAGTAAATTCAGAGTACGCTACGTACTATGTCTACAGAATCCCTTGGCGCTCTCTTGGGACTGCGGAACCCTAGAACGTTAGTATTAAAGCAGAGAGGGCGAAAGGTGCCTTGAATTTAGACGGTTCTAAGAAACAGCAAGAAAGTTGACGCTCTAGTAATTTAATGGAAAAAAAACCCTTTATCAACATGATTAGGGATAGAATTACTCCTTAAAAAGGAAAAAAAAATAAAATTGGATTGGTATTAAGAGCTGTTATTTATCTGGTTCCCAGATGTCGAATGAAGAAAAGGCTTAGGAGTTTATATAAGGGTTCCACCGCTATTATTCTACAATCCGAAATTATTATTAGATCCTATTACAATTAACTCTTCCTTGACCAAAAAACAAATGCTTCTAATAATTCTATAGCCAAAGGGTTTTAAAGATCGATTTCAAATTGGAAAATTAATCCAAGTATTCCTTGGCGGAATAATAATTGTAGTAAAAAAAAAAATTTGCTATCGTGTTAATGGCTGATGATAAAAATGGGATAATAGTGCTTAGGGTTCTCAGTGAATGGTGAATAATTTATTGAAGATAAGAAGGGTATTCGGGTTTAGAATAATAGAGGGAATGAGTGAATGTAAATATTGGATGAATGAACAGAAAAGATTGTGGATTGAAAACTGCTAAATAAATCCTTTTCTGTCCCTTAGACAATTATCGTTTATGATAAATTCCTTTGAAATCTACTCAGAATTTTACGAATGAATAAATATTTATTACCAATTTCTATCCATCTTTTCTATATCGATATAAATAAAATACACTCACGTTTTTGTGCTTCGTTGATATATTTGAGAGTTCACGAAGTGGAAGTCCATTGCGAATGGTGCAATAGCCAAAATTCCCGTGCGTACTCATTGAGGAACTTGAGCGTTCTGTTAGACTTCTCGCTGGCGATGTTTCTATCGTTGAGATAAGACGACGTTTTCGTAAATAGTCCGAGGGTTCGTCCCCTAAAAGAATGAAAATCGATTCCTCTGAAAATTTATTCTTATAAAGGAATGTTTTAATTTCTTTTTCAATAATAATTTCCAATTTGAAAAATAAATATAAAGCAAAATTTTTCAATTTAAAATAACGTACCTGTAATTTGTTGGGGTATTATATCGGGATTTTTCTCATCACTCTCGCTAACATCGCCATTTGGATCTAATTTCCTAAAGGGACTTGTGGGATATTTTTCATCTGTTATCACATTGCTTCCTTCTCGAAATCGTAGTTCACGTTGAATGGGAATATTTTTTGTGACTTTTTCATGATTCTCCACGTGTGGTTTACTCTGATCATCACCATGTGAATGTTGTAATTTCATAAGAACCATGACAATAACAGCGACAATTACAAGTGCCGCGACGACAGCAATTATAACACTTAACATTGGTATTAATTTTATCGGTTGCCTTGGCCTCTCTATAAAAGAAAATTTTTTGGTTTAAAAATAAAATTACTTTTCTTTTGATTATAAAATAATTACCTGTTTCGGATGTAAGCTGCTTCTCCGGTGACCGAACAGTTCCGGCTTGAACAACTAATGGTTCACTTCGTCCTTTATCATTGTACGCATACACGCAGGCTTGATAAAGTGCTCCGGAATCGAGATTTGTAACACTAAATCGAGGAACAGGAGAAGACAGGTTTGCCTTCAGTTCCTGGCTATTAGTTTCCCTCACCTCAAGGAGGAAGGTTTGAGGTAGACCACCGTTAAAGCCCTCTGTACACTTTACACTAAAGGAATTTGTCGACGAGTTGGAGATGGTGCAATTATGAACCATGTCAGGTCGACCTAACAAACAAATAATAATTTAATCATTTTTATGAAATATAATTTAGCAAATTCGGAGTTTTATTTGATTAGAGTTCATATTTTTTTTGGGGTTCGATGGTAATTTTTTTTCTCCGGGAAAATTCTTTAAATGATTTACCTGCGGGAATAATGTGATATACACACGGCACTTGCTGATGTCCAATTTCATTGGAAGCCCAACAAAGGAGAGTTCCATAATCAAGTTCATTCATTGGCGTATAGGAAACAATTGATGAAGTTCCAACTCTCGCAATATGTCCCGAGGCAACATCCATACTCTCTGCTGAATTATTGAAGGTCCATCGAAATTCAACTTTTGAAGGATTTGCATCAACTTGACAGGATATATTCGCTCTCTCTTGCTTTGCAACTCCATGTATTTTTATTTGATTAGGCTTACATGTTGGTGCGACTTAAAATTAATTATTAAATTATTATTATTTTTTTTCCCACAATTTAATGAAAAATAATTTTTTTTTTGATTTTACTCACACATAACATTGAGATAAAATGGTGAACTTTCACCATCACCTTCGGTATTATAACCAACGCATGTATAATTTCCCGCACTTTTTCTCTCGACTCCTTGGAGAACGAGACTTTGATTACTTATTATAATTCCCAATGGAATATTGTTATGAAGTGTCTTTCCCTAAAATGCCAAATTTATTTGATTAAAAAAAAAGAAGTGAAAATTTCTTTTAATAAAGCTATTTTATTGAATTATGTTTTTTTTTACACAAAAAGCATTTCTATTAATTTTTATTTGATTTTTGCTAATTTTAATGGTTTTTTAATGATATCAAAAAAAGATTTTAACAGTAAATTGAGAATTCATTTACCAGAAACAGTACATCAATTCAGATTATGAATCATTAATTATTAATTTGCAATCCCAAGAGCTTTTATAAATAAATATTTTAAATTGATTTGAAAATTTTATTATTTCTATGGAAATAGCAGAAAATATAAATAAAAAATAAACTTCTTTTGTTAATTGTGGCATATTAATTTCTACTTTAGAGGATCCTTTAGAGGTTTTTAAAATTAATTTTCCAAACACTTTTATAAAATACTTTTTGGTTTTAAAAGTGAAACCTATCGTTGCCGAACGTTGATTGATGACTGCGGTACATTGTCGTGATATTTATAGGTCAAGACGGAAGGAGTGGGGGGGACCGCGCAGTCATTGGATGCAGGTCTCGTCTCTAGCCAATCACTGCGCGTTGTTTCCCACTCTTTCAGTAAACATAACTCAAAATTGATCATGGTTCTGAAAAAAATACTAAAATTAAAATTCTAAATTTATACACACCTCGTGTCTCCATTCAACTTTATAGACCGATGGTTCAGCTTTAATTAAACAGTCAAAATAAACATCAGTCCCTTCACGAATTGTATCAGGATTCAATGGTGTCCCAAGTCTAATTTTCGTTTCTGGTACATCTGAAAATGAAAAAAATTGTTTTTTTTGGTTATTGAAGTAAAAAATAAAAGTTTGTCGATGAAAGAGGAATATTGTAGAAAAATCAGATTATGATTTTCAAGCTTACATTGTATTTCTAGTGTCCAGACGTCTTCTATCGGTGCGGAGGGCATGATTGGATTTTCAGCACGACATGATAAATGTTTGCCAGCGTCTTCTTTCGTTGGAATAAAAGGCAACACGCTTGTAGTTGTGTTACCATCGCTTGAAGTCTGTAATAGTATTAGAGAGTTATATTTGCTTTAGTCGATCAACTTTATTCCATTTATACTTTTTGTTTTTTGTTCATTTTATTTTTCTCAAATCGCAAAGACTTATCGTTGCTTTTAGTATTGGAAAGGGTTCATAATTTTTAACAAACGAATATCTATATATCTATATATTTATTTTCTTTTCTCTCTATCGAATAAATCCTTTATAAGGATAACATAAAGAAAATATGTGTCATCTAAAAATGAAAATAAAATGATTTAGTGTTTTATTGATTTTCACACATTTTTTTAATATTTCTTTTTTGAATTAAAAAAAAAAATTCTCTTTTTCTAATTATGGAATTTTTATAGTAGTGTAATTATATTAGTGAAAGAAGTTTTTAAGATTTTCGGCAAAAAAAAAAAATTTTGTTGCTTGATATGCTTTTAGCTGATTGCTTTACCGAAATTGCTAAAATATTAAGAGGGAAACTGTGTGCTTGTAACACAGTTCGATGTTGGTAGATTCAATTAATTCATGTTTCTCGTTTATTAATTAATTACATCCACTTAGGAAATGTTGCCAGATGAAGCTGTGAGATATTCTGTAATCAAACCCCCTTTAGTTCAATAAGAACTAAATTCTATTTACATATAGAAATTTATCCTACTTTTTAAATTACTAAGTTTATACATTTTTTTGATTAATTAGAAAAAAAAAATAATTTTCCACTGATGATGAGAAAAAATTTAAATTACAATTTTTTTTGGTGACAGCGGTGGGATTTTAAAAAGTTCTCTTTAGAAATTCGTGAAGATAAAATTTTTAATTTTTTTTTTTACTATTTTTTAACTTATTTTAATTTACATGATTTATTAATACAAAAAATGTAAATACAGAAATGTATCAATTTTCATGTTTCATGTAATGAAGTTTTTCTGCAAATGAATAAGAATTTAATTTATTCTTTTCTTTGATTATTATTTGAAAAGAGAATAAAAGAGAATATACAAGGATAAGAACCCTTTTGAAAATGAACAAATATTTTCATTTCTTCTCAAGAATCACTTTATTTTCTCAAGGATATCTTCTTCATTACAAAAGGGAGTTGTGTAATTTTCTTTCATTAAATTGTGATTTCAGATCAGTCAAGTAAAGATAAAAAAAAATACATTGGTTAATATTAGGATAGAAAATTTTTTTGGCAAAATAAAAAAACATTTCTAATTAAAAAAAAGAAAATAAACACAAAAAATAAATTATTATTTATTAAATAATTACTATCCTTTTTCACAGAAAAGCAAAGAAAATATTTGATTTAGATCGTTAAAAAGGGCAAAAATCTCAGCTCTCTCTCGTAATCTTTAACGGATACTCTAAAAAAAATAGAGGAAACAGAAGCCAGAAAATTGATTTTTCCTGGTAACGTACCGTTGCTGTTGAGTGTTGCAAGCGTTCTTCATTTCTCCACCAAGAGACGAGAGCTGGTGGCCGAGAACCAAAAGTCAGGCAAACTAAGTCGTATTTCTTGTTGGAGGATAAGGGTTGGTTAGCACCATCGATCCGAACTTCCAATGGGATGACTGCAAAAAAAAAATAGTTTTTATCTTGAAAAAGAGAACAATATCCGGATTTCACTAAAAATTACTTCTCTTTGAATAAATCCTTCTTTCTTCATCGAGTGGAATCTTATAAAGTTAATGTACTATTTTATTATTTAAAAAAAAAAATAAAAATACAACCAACGATTATCAAAAATAAAAATATTATTGCAACAAGTTAGAAAATTACGTAATCCCTTTTGCCTGATATGAAGCAGTAGAGATAGAAATGTTAAATATAAGATGAAAGCCGGAACGACATTAAAATATTAAAATTTCACTTCTCAAAGAAAACCCCGGTTATTTAAGATATATACATTAGTAGAAAGCTTAAATTAATAATCGTTTTAAATAAAATTGAGGGCAAATTTTCTCGCTCATTTAATTAGCTTAATGGTCACGCTTTGAAAAATCACAACTATATTTTCAACCATATATTTAATAAAGTTAAATGTAATAAGAATTATAAATGAGGTCACAAAAAAAGAAAATTCTCTGTAATAGTTTTTTTAAACTAACCAAATGAGAAGTAATAGCAACAAAAAAAAAATTTATATAAACTCTAACCTAATAAAAATATTTGTGGAAAAACAAAGTTAAAAGTTCACAAAAAAAAGACGATAAAACATTTCGTTTTTTTTTAAGAGAGAGAGACTATATACATTCAATTTTGGTCTAAATTTTATTATCACGCTTAATTTTTCTTCATCAAGTTTTAAAATAAAACTGCGGAAGAAAAGTCGTCCTTCACTTTATATATAAGAGAAACGACGACGACGACGGCCATCTAATGTCTCGAGGGAAGGAATAAAATATAAATTAGTCGTAAAACGTGGAGTAAAGTAAAGGTGGCGAACATTTGTTTGCTAATTTGATTCATTGTCGCAAATGGCTAGTGTTGGAATACCTAATCCCTCTTATTCTAGAAACAGCGAAGCATCTGGCACACTATATGCGAGTGTAATGTCGACTTTTTTTTTTAAGTAGCTTTACGTTTACCAACCCCCTTTTTCATCCCACAACTCCCCCGCATATTCTCGATGTAAAACTTTTTCAACCGCCTCTCATTCTCTTCTCGACACTCCAGGTGCATACAAAAGTTCAACTACACTGTGGAAGGTAAAGGAAACATAAGAGCTGATTTACATGACTCGAGAGAAGTCTAATTTAACCCACAAGAAAATGTCTTCTTAAAGCAAAATTATAAAATATTTCTCTAATATAGTCGCGACATAAAATAATTATATATTTGAGTTGTATTTAGGATAATCATTAAATAAATCTAAAGAAAAGAAAAAATTAAAATACTAAAAAAATAATAAATACAAATTTTAACCAAAGGAAACTGTTTTCAAATTTAATTCATCTGATGTAATATTAGCGACTGATGGTAAAACAGGAAAATAATGATATGAAAAAATTACCGACATAGAAATTTACATTATCAACTGATGGTAAAACAGAAAAATAATTAAATAAAAAATTACCTATATAGAAATCTACATTACCGACTGATAGTAAAACAGGGAACTGATGCTATAAAAATTACCGACATAGAAATTTACATTATCGACTGATGGTATAATAGTAAAATGAAAATATAAAAAATACCGACACAAAAATCTACCTTACCGAATGATGGTAAAACAAATTTCAACATTAAAAAAATTCTTCCAGTTTACTATCAGTCGGTAATATAGATTTCTATGTCGGGATTTTTTACATTTTCATTTTTCTATTTTACCATCAGTCGGTAATGTGAATTTCTATCTCGATAATTTTTATACTTTTATTTTCCTGATTTACCATTAGTCGGTAATGTAAATTTCTGTGTTGGTAATTTTTTATACCATCATTTTCCTGTTTTACCATCAGTCGGTGATGTTGATTTCTATGTCCGTATTTTTTATATCATTTTCCTGCTTTTACAATCAGTCGATAAAGTAGACTACTGTGGCGGTAATCGATATTTATTTAAAAAATAAGTTTTACCTTGTATTAAAAAAATATTATTTTTTTTTTAAATATTGAAAGTTTTTATTAAACATTTGTGGTCCCCCATGCTTTTTTTAAATTTTTATTATTATTTCTATTATGTTTTGATTTCACAGTGTATTGCTCTGAGGAGGCTCTGCGTAACTAAATATAATTTTATAAAATAATTAAACTACAATATTTTTCCATAATGAAAATAATTTTCTAAATAGCAAAAATTTTTAATAATAAAAAATGTTAACGTACAATTTTATTTCCTGTTCAAATATTCAGAGAATGTTGCAATATTTTTTTGAAAATAAACTTGTTTATTAATAAAAAGTAATTTCCGCTATGAGAAGAATTTTCATTTGATGTAAATAATTTTCTTTTTTTTTGACAAATATTAACATTCTATGTTGGTTCGAAAAAAATTGTAGCAGCTTTTTCTGAAAAAAAGGGAAAATAATATCCTGAGCTATTTACTTGTCGTCTCATGAGGAAGAACGGTAACTCTGTTATAAGTTTACGTGTAAATACATTAAACTTTTTTATAAGTTATTACCGTCTTTCAAACGAGGGTCTCCGATAATGTATAGGAAAAAAATTAACATCTCTCATATACAGAAAGTTGAACAAAAATTCATTTATTTAAGTTTAAAACAGTTTATATAATTTTTTTCCGTTGGTTTTTCATATCTCTCATTCATATTATACAAGAACCCTCTTTTAAATTTACTTTGGACTAAAAGAAAAAAAAAACTTTTTTACCCAGAAAAAATCTTAATTAAATCATGGTTATTAATATCAATTCCGTTGGCGAAATCTTAGGAAAAGAGAAGCTTTTAAAGATTCTTTTTATCAGAAGCTAAAGTTTGATCGTGACATATTTCTAAAGTAATTGCAACTCGAATATATATATGGCATTAATTAATTTAAAAATTAAATATAGATATGAGAAAAAAATTAAACTAATAAAAATTCAAATTCTTTGTATATTTCTTAATAATAATAATAATAATAAAAATTCTTATTAAAATTAATAAATCGGAAAAATTTTGAGAATGTAATCCCACTTTGTAAAATTATTCTTTTTATGGGAGTATTGAACTGTTAACATTGACGTCTATACATACAAACATAATGTAATGAGCACGAAATTCAATATCTGACTTTATTACGTAGTCGTCTGTAAACCGATATTGGCAAGTTTTATTAGCGATCGATCGCAAACCTTATACATCTGAGAACCTCATTTAACACTAAAGACAGACAGCTTTATTAGGTAACTATTTCACAGAATTGTATTTCATAGATCAATAAAAAGAAATTAAAAAAAATAAATTTTAACAACCCTCCCCTAAAAGCTAGTTTAAAAATAAAAAAAATTACGACTATTCTTTAAATATATATAGATAATATTCTTTTCTGATTTTAAAATCACAATTCATTTTCAAACACTTTTATAGAAAAATTTACCTTTTTTTAAAAATTTAATTTATTCTCTTTTTCCAAACACTTTTATAAAATACTTTTAAGTTTCTGTATTTTCAAATTTATCGTTGTCTTAATTTCATTTTGTTGGCTATTTTTAATTTTATTTGCAACCGCGCAATTTAAATATTAGTTTCCCGTAGATTTATGAGCGTTTCACCACTGTAAATCTGGATTTAAAGTTTCACCTTCTTCTTCTTCTTTTTTTTTCTTATAAACATTTTCAATCCTACTTTTCCGATATAAATTCTGATTACAAATGCATTTACATTTTACAAACATTTACAATGACAAGAAGAGTCTGCGAGTCTAAAAACTTGAAAGGAAAGTTTAACAAAAGGTTGACGAAAGAATGGCATCGATTTCAAAACTTTGTTCTTGGCGTATCTAGTATATAAGGCATTGCAATTTCCAGTAGCCGTCGCCCATATTTGCGTCGAGTACTTGAGAGAAACTTACTTCAAATTTACAAACTGCTTTCTCTCTCTCTCCTCCTCTCATATATAGAATGAAAACGTATTGCTTCCTTTTCATTCGCTTTGCAATTCAATTGTATACCGCAAATCTCTACTGAGAGATGTATTCCTCTAAACTCAAAATGTTTATTTTATATCCCAATGGTATGAACGCTCATGATATTGATGAAAACTTTATCTACAAAACAACAACAAAAAATTAAAAATTTTATTCCACTTTTTGAATTTGTGTAAATATAAATTGAAAATTCAATGCTACAGAGAATATTCAAATTTTAGTTGAACAGACAATATTCACTGGTACTTTAATATTATGATAGTTATTAATTTCTACAAAGTTGTCCAATCGAGAGTAGTGGGAAATCCTCTTGAATCAAGGAGATTAATTTTCAAGCCACACTCAAAGCACGAGAAGTACATATCTAAATTAGAGGATTTAACTAAAAATAAATGGTACTTTTAGTTAATAATTTTAAATTGCATTTTAGTTTCATTTATAGTAATTTAAAATTTTGAACAAGAAATAATTGCATAGCCAACATTTTTTTTTTTTTTTGAATTTATTAATTTACTTGTAGAAAATATTTTACTTAGAAATTGTATTAAAACTTGAAGGAATTAATATATAACTTTGGTAATGTGCAAGAAATAATTTTTGAATTTAGTACGAAATAGAGAATAATAATTCAATAGTAGAAGTGACCCACCGATCTGTGTGAGAGCTCGAGATCGAATGTGACACACTATTCGAAGCCACGCCCACTGAAGCGCGCTCTTTGGGTCCCAGAGAGCGAGTCAAGTGGGGGTAGAATAAAAGAGACCATCGTCTTTCGTTTATGGCTCAGTTCCAGTTCGACTACGTTTGTGTACGCATCGAACATTTTTGTAATTAAATATTGGTAAATTAGAAAACTATGAATTTGATTTTCTTTAAATTAAATTTTTTTTTAAATTTATAGATAAATTTTCTTTTTTTTTTGTTGCCTAAATTTGTTAAAACAAGAACTTATTTAAAAAAAAAAATTCAGACATGAAAAATCAGAAAAATTTTCAACGCAGAAAAAAGTGTAGTACATTAAATCATAATTATATAAACATTTTCACACGGGCATCAAGATGAAATAAAACGGCAATAACTTCTTATCAAGTTTTCGAACGGGACGCGTAAATGGTTGCTGCTGCAGCAATCTTTCGTTGGAAAGAAGGGTATGAGTTTGGTTTTCCCATGTCAGTCTTCCATTTCCTGTTTTATTCACGAAACGACTGTGCATGTTAACAGGAAAACTTTTATAGGTCAGATAAAGAAAACCTCCATGTTTCCACATTCTCAAATTTCAGAGTTACTGGCAAATAATATAATATTTGCCTACTTTCGTTTCCATATATATCTATCAGATTCCAACATTGTCATTCTATAGACACACAATGTTTGTGAAATATTTTTAAATCCCATTTTTTTTTCAATTTGGAATTGAAAAAAATAATTTTTATTATAATCAAAAAATAGTTTAAAATTCTTTTTCCTCCGACTTTGGAGTTTCTAAACTATATAATGAGTGTAGCAAATAAAGCTATTTCACGAGAAGAAAGTTTCTATTATAATTAGATCAGAAACTCATTAGTGCTTTCGATTTGTACCTCAATTAGTAATCGATCCTAATTGTGATCTGGAATTTTCTTAATTTGACGCACCATTAGAGTGTTACAATTTAATTTCGTTGCTGGTTATTTTAATTGATTCTGATGCGCTCTATTTTTATTTTTAAAAAGAGGAAGAAAAAAAAACGAGAGAATAGAGGCGAGAAATTATCTTGGAAGGGGGATGGAAAAAAAATATATATAAAAAGCAGAAACACCTTTCATCTCATTTCCTCTTGTCTTGAAAGCTTCACTTTTCCCATCATCCTGGAAGTACGTGGTACTTAAATCAAAGTGCTTTTCCGGGTCAACGACCACATTTTTTGTAAAATTTTTTTAAACTCGATTTTTTTTCTTAAATAACAATTCAATTTTTCGAAATAATTATGAAATTAATTTTTTTCTCTCGATATTATCCATTTCTAAGACAAATGTTTGAGAATGAAAGTCAAGAATTTGAATCCTACTCAAACAAGAGAGAGAGAGAGAATTCATTTAACGAAAATCCCATTGGAAATCTGAGAAGGAGTAATCTTTAATCAAATCCCTCTCTAATACTATTAGGCGAACAGGGGGATTTGTCGAATTCCCTATTTCCGTATTCCGTTGAATCCAATGCCACCAGTTTCCGGTTAGCCACTGTCACGTTGTTGAGGGTAAAAGGGTAGAATATCTACGTGTGCTGTCGCACTTGGAATTGAGCTGCCTCACCCAGAATCGAAGATGTTATTGGTCCATCCCAAACACTGGTTCTATTCTTGCTAACGGTCTATGCCCTTTACCACAGTTAGTGCAAACTATCGAAGAAAAAAAAATTTTCGATTCAAAATCAAATGTCAACTTTTTTCGGATTCATCATCGTAATAGAGAATATTATAAATTTTATTAAAATAGAAAAATTTAGTAATAAAATTTTTTTTTTATTTATGATATAACAAGAGCATTCCCCCTTGAATAAAAGATTTGAAAAAAAATTTGCAATTCTTTTTTATATTTGAAAGGTCGCAAACCTCCGCCCATTAATTTTGTGCCCATCGGTCCATACCCATTTCCGTAGTCTGAATTTAGCTTCAACTTGTATCAAAATCATTCCCAGGTACCACTTGCCCCGGAAACATTTTCCCTTTCATATCCTGTCTTTTCATTGCAAACGTTTCACGTTTACCACCTTGAAATAGAAATCAATCAAAAATTTTCCCTTTCAGAAAATGAGAAAAAAGATTAGTCAAATTTTCAACCTTAAAAAAAATGATAAAACATTTTTTTTCAATTTTTTTTTTGTATAAAATTCATATTATAAAAATTTTTTTCAATATCAAAAATATAGTGCACACACATATTTATCTATATTTATTATTTGTACGTATTTTGAAATCAAGATGGACGGTACAATTTGCGAAAGTTACGCTCCAAGGGTTTCGAGGGATTCCCCCTGGGTGCTTTGCATTTTTCACGAGGCTTAAACTTTCTCGCCGCGCGCGTATATAGCTTTATTGCAAAAGTGACTTTCAGAAAAAAAAAGAATGAAATAAAGCAAAAGAAAGAAGAAGAAGAAAAAAAAATAAAAGTTAAAACCCACTACAATTTCAATATATCTAGAAAAAAATTGTGCAATTTTCCACAAGACGAACGTTCACCTTTTTCTCTCTAGTCTACTATATACCTTCTTCGTGAAGAAGATTCTATAAAATGCCCTTTTGCATCTTATCGGAAAATCAAAGACAACCTTTACACACTATACCATTTTACGATAGCCCTCAAAGTTTTAAGTTTCCACAAGGGTCGAAATAAACGCGATTCTCTGCACTTATAGTACTACTATAAAGAAAGCATTGCAGAATAAGATATTCCTTTTTTTTACTAGATCTCTTTTTAAAATGGTGGAATTTTTTTCTTCTTGTTTTAAAACTCATCATTTTATGGTTCGTAATTTTTCAATTTCCAAATGGAATTTTTCTTTCTGTGTTGCCTCTCTATAAAAAAATTTAGTATAAAATTAAATGTTTTTCAATTTACTAGTTTATAAATATTGCTAAAGAAATCAATTGGAGGGGGGGGGGTTTATTTTACTTTTTTTCTGGAAATTTACTAGTTTTCAAAGTAGGTCGTTGTAAATATACATTTAAAATTATTCATATATTTATATACCGTATTTTAAGAATTGAATATTAAATTACTAATAAATGGAAATAGAGTATATATTTGAACAAGTAGTAACCACTTTGTAAGTTTGTGTATAATTATTAATTCAATAAATAATTAAATATTAATTTAATCCATTTATAAATGGATATGAATTTGTTAAATTTACTAATTTTCCATTTTGATTAAAGTACTTTTATTAAATAAATTTTTCATTTCTAATTTAATTGACCAATTTAAATCCTTCCGTTCGTAATTAACTTTATATTTGTTAAATTTTTCCAATTCACTAAATTAAATTATTCTTTTACTTCGTAATTGAATAATTTTTCTAATTTTGAAATTTTTTAATTTCATTTAACTCGTTTCTTTTAATTAAATTTATTGATATTTAATTTAATTCCTATCTAAAATTTACTTCCCTAATCATAAATTAATTTTATAATTAAGTTTTCTCTTATTCTAAAACGTAATTTTCATTTATTACTTCCATTAGTAACTCAATTTTAAATTTTAATAATTTTTTTCATGAAAATTACTAATTTTCTTATAATTTCCTATTTTACTTAGTTTCTCCTATTTATTTAATTTTACTTTACAAATAATTATTTTATAAATAAATTCATGATTCCTATAGGAAATTACTATTTACTTTATTCGTATTCATGAAATTAATTTGAATCTAGGTAATAATTATAATGCTTTTCGATATATATATATATATATATATATATATATATATAATTTTTTTAACAGGTATTAAATTGTTATTTTCCAAACACTTTTATAGAATACTTTTTTTATAGTATAACATTTGTAAATTTAATTAAAAAGCTAATTATAATTTCATTTGTTACTAATTTCGTAATTTCGAGCCTAAATTATTTAATATTTCTAAATTTAATTCGAGATTTAAGAGTTGTTTTAAGGCCCGTGGTTGACTGGCGAATAAATCTATGTTATGCTTGGCTCTCCTTATATATTGAGACTCGAAGTGGGGAGTACTGCTCGCTGATTGGTCGGACGCTCCAAATGGTAGGAGTCACGCTATCTCCCACCTCAAGCCTCGGTATATAAGAAGGATCGGAAGCTCTTTTCCGTCATTCTGTCTTGTTGTTTCAAGCATTGCACAAAGTATAAAATAAAAATTAATGTCCACAAAACAAAACTTAATTAATTATTAATAAAATCAATTAAATACGTTTATGAATTAAATATCAGTAAATTAATTAAATAATTCATAATCAAAGTAATTACAACTTTTTTTTGTAATTTCAAATTTTCTATTTTCTTACTCCCGTTTTAGATCCAACTGATATTGGATAAGTCCAAAGGAGTAAAGTTTGCAATATGAGATTATATATAGATTACAAGAGCGTCAAATAACATTCGCGTGTGTACACGTATTCAGAGTTTAGTGATATGAGATAAATCTCCCAACTGTTGGAAATCAATCTCACTCTCTCTCTCTCACATATACAAATTCGATAAGCACTACACTGTACATGACTCTGTATAATTTTGTAATTTAATATTCCGGCCGGTTTTGCAGTATGAATTGCCGCTATAGTATGAATATGAATACTTACAATTCATATCAACGTGTACTGTTGAGGATAGAGGTAGCGATCTATTGTTATTCGTTGCGTTGCAGGTCAGTTCGGTACGCACATCAGCACGTCCCAAATTTTTTATCTCGATGTCACTACGTATCACGGGTACTCCGTTACGGTTGTGCACTGTCACTGTTTTGATGTTCACAAAATTGTCATTACGATACCATGTCACTGTTGGTGCTGGTTTACCTGAAAACATAATTTCTTTTATCAGCAAAAAAGTGCAAACATTTCTGTTTTTTTAACCAATTCTTCAAAAAGATTCATTGCGATATTTTTTTAATCAAAAAGAAAGGAAAGATTAATTGAATCCTTAAATTAATCATCGGTTGACTTTAGGGTAAATAATAGAGCCACAATTACGTCTCTCGAAACTTGGTAGTTTACAGCGGATAGTAATTACAGTTATTAAATCATTTTATTGTAATTATCAAACTATCACTTACCTCCATAAACATCGCACGAGAGTTTCAGGGTATCACCCTCGGTATAAGGACCAACATTCGAATCTGTCACGTTGTTATTTTCCCTTGTTATCACAATCCTGTGAGGTGGAACTGTAAGGAAAAAAAAAAGAAATTTAATAACAAAATTCTTTTAATTCGTTTGTACTTAATAGTAAAATCCCCACCTCGAAAAATATAGTAAACATTAGAGGAACAATAAAAGACGATAAATCATTTGTAATTTATCATCATATAATAAAATTATGATTCGCGTTTTATGGATTGAGAAAAATCAGATTCTTTTTGACCTTTTGCTTTGGCATACGTAGCTGAATCTGAACTTGAAGGGTTGGGGTAATATTCTTTACTGGTCCGGAAAAGCTGATAACATGAAATTGGTATTGGGAAGATCGTGCTTCAGATATCTTGCGATGGCATTAAATTGAAATCTGGAATCGATTTTGTCGGATAGAGTGTCGCAATGTACTGTCGTGTTATCGAACGAGAGAGAAAGCGAGAGAGAGAGGGAGAGAGAGAAAAAGAAAAGGATAAGAGAAAAACATGACACAAAGAGAAAAGGATCTTTTCTGTATTTCTCTCATTTTCTTGCATATCAACTCCAAATCCCTTATATTGAGAAAATTTACTGTCACCTTACACGAATATTGAAGCCACTTCAAGGAAAAGAATAAAAAAAACCACAACTGTTTTTCCCATCGAGCAAACAATATCTTTTGAGGTTAAAGATAAAAACAATTTTCAATAGAGGAGGAAATAATTTTTATATTTGTTTTTAATTTCCATATTGTTTTTAATAAAAAATAATTTCTAAATTATATAATATTTAATAATAAAAACTAATTATGTATGAAAATTCAATATTAATAATTTATATTATGATTGTAATACAAATAGATTAAAAATGTTTACGATGGAAAATTAGTTTCTCTAATGCCCGTACATTATATAATTCCGTTTATTTGATAAAGGGTAAACAAAATGTTGTAAATATTTCGTACCTAAATAATAATTAATATTATACTAAATACCTAATACTGGAAAACATATAGAAATTTTGTTAATTAACCTGAAATAATTTAGTAAAACATATATTGATTTAATATAACCATATATTATTAACTTGTATATGATAAAATTAATTATTTTTGAATACGAAATTAACATTGCTTATTGCTACTCTTAGGTTAATTAGTACAGATCAAGACGTTTTAATATTACAGATTAAAGAACCTGTTTTTAATCTGAACTAAACTAAAAATTTAATTTTTCATATTTATTAAAATAAATTTTTTATTTTTAATTTACATTTACAGAAACTATTTCTGTATTTTTATTAATGGAACTTGTTTGTTAATATTTTACAAACAATTTTTTAAGAAAATTTTCCTTTTGGTACAAACTATTGTTATAATTTTGTTGTTAGCTATTTATTGTTGACATTTTCCAAACACTTTTATAAAATACTTTTTTTTTACCTTTTTGGTAACATCTGTTTTAATAATTTAGGTTCCAAAGGGAACAAGCTCCGTCAAGCACCTTCGTTAAAGTGAGGCCCCGAGCAGAACAGTCCCTCTATTTATACCCCCCTCTAATCTGCTTCTAACGAAATCTTCCGCCAATCACAGAGCGTGTCCCCCTACTTCCCTTACACCTCGAGATCGCTTTGTAAATTGTTTCCCTTAGCTGGATACTTACCGATCCAAACTTCTCAGTATTACAGACTAAATAACCTATTTCTAAATTCCTCTCCCAAAAAAACAGGTGTTTAAAGATCAACAATATTGTCTATTTTTCACCACAAATAATTGAATCGATACAGAATTAATGTTTTCATATTGTGACAAATTTTGATTCCAATATAGTTGACATTTTTGAAATGGTAATTAAAATTATTTTCAATATTACGGACAAAAATTCAATGATAATTCAATTATCTCCTACTAATTGAATTACTCCATGAGTTGGAAATGAGTACATCCCGAAATTCTAGTGGCACACACACACACACATAGACACAAACAATTGCTAATACATGATTCAATATCCGGTTGTGCAAGCAATAATTAGTCTATGTCTGCTGGAATTTAATAGATTCCAATAGTTCTCCCTGACCGATTAAAATGTTCAAAAAGACAATTAAAAAATTTCCTTCCAATTGTTGACAATTTGTGATTGAAATTTTTTTTTTATATTCTCGCTTTAAGTTATTGAAGTCGTGAAATTTGACATTTATTATAAAGATTGAAAGTTTTATTACAGCGCCGTTTTTTTCCATTTTTTAAATTTCCTTTTTTTTATTACATGATGAACGTTTCGAGTGCGCGTGTAGCTGCAAAAGAAAAAGAAATGTTTTCGGAAGCTTTAGATGTCAGTGACTCTCTTATGTTATTCTCACCAATGTTCCAACACTTCACTATTCCGTAAATCACGATTTTCCAGATCGTTAGATTCTTTCTTGTGTGGTTTAAATTCTTCATAAATTCCACAAGTCTTTCACTTTTTTTGGTCCATTTTTTCATTTAGGTAAAATGATTCAAGAATTTTAATATTGTTAATAATTTCCACATTCGATTTTGGCATTATTATCATCAAAGATACGGATTATCTTGATGCATTTTATTAGGAAAATATTTTTTAAAAAAACCTCTATATTCAGTGTATTTAAAATTAAGCTACGTTTTGAAATGATAATTTACGATTTGCAAAGTTTAAAGCACACTCATTTTATGTTAATAGCTAGAAACTGTAAACAGCATTGCTCATATGGAAAAAGAACACTAATAATTTTGCCACAAGGTAACAACACAAAACGTTTTCATGCTTTTACAGTTTAATGAATAGCTATGGAGAAAAGATGAAAAAAACTAGATATGGTTACAAGTGTATATAATATACACGTAAAAGAGAAAATTTGCGAAAGTTTTTTTCGGTGGGGGGGGGGGTTGCCGGAGGTGGAAAAGAAGCAAAAGAAAGCGTTATGTTATTCATGTATGTAAATTTTAAATATCCAGGAAATATTTCTCGTAACATGTATGCAAAATATCTGTGATCACTTCACTTGGCTAACACCCTTTGTGGATGAGAAAAGGGTGACGGGCGGAAAAGGGGGAGGTGGTGGTGGGAGAGGGATTCGGTATTTGCATCAAACGAGGCAAATTTGCATCAAGCCTCCAGAGTAAATGAGCTGAAGCCCCCGTAGTACTTTGTCACGAAGGAGCTTAAATCGATTTAACACCGACGCCCGTTCATGTAACTTCATAGCTTTATGGCTGCTCATTCATTTTTAGTGACAGACAAAAAGCGGAAGTTACTTTCGTTGCATCCGCATTAGCGGTGGTGGTGGTGGCTTGCGTAAAAAAAAGAGTATGGATAAGGGGAAGGGGTTTGTCTGCGCTTAATTACTCTGCTATTCGCCTGTTGTTGCAATCGTTATCAGGATGCGAGTACTTTATTGACAAATTTACATCCCCTTTTTTTGGGGGGTGGATGCATCGACAATTTGTTTTTCACGGATTTATTTTATATACTTCAATTTTAGTTTGCATTTTTTATAAAGACATTTAAAATTCCATTTTTACATATTTCGATTTAATCTGCAACACGGAGATGATTTTTTAAATAAACATTTTTTTTTGTTTTTATTTAGAATACGTTTTTGAAACTTTAAAACTGAAAATTTAATTTTTATTATTTACTAAAAATAAATTATTGATGGGAATTATTTTGTAGAATTTTCCAACTTTTTTTTCAAAAAATTTCATTTGATACAAACTTGTTATAATTTTGTTGTTAGGTATTTATTGTTAAAATTTTCCAAACACTTTTATAAAATACTTTTTTTACTTTGTTGGTAACATCCGTTCGCATAGTTCAGGTTCCAAAGAGAACATGCTCCGATGAGCAACTTCGTTAAAATGAGGCCCCGAGTAGAATAGTCTCTCTATTTATACCCCCCTCCAAACTGCTCCCAACGTAATCGTCCGCCAATCACAGCGCGTGTTCCTATACTTCCCTTACTTCTTGAGATCACTTCATAAAAAAAACGTCGATGTTCCATCACTATGCAGAAAGTCATATTTCATTTTAAAAAAATACTGCATATAAAAGAATGAATTTTCCGCTTTATTTCTCCTTTTACTGTCTATGTAAATCGGAAGAGAGAGTGAGAGAGAGAGAGAGAGATTTATATTTTTACCTTTAACTAGCGAGAACCATTTTTCTTTTGTGATCGATCGTCAAGTTCCGTTAAAAAAAAGAAGTTTATAAGCTAAATAAATTACGTGTGAAAAGTTTTGAAGGGATAACAAGGTCCTGGTTGTCTCGTTGTTCCCGAAGGCGAAGTGAGTGTCTTCTTGACAAGTTTTGTCTCGTGGCCAAAGGGAGACGTATAAAAATCCTCAAGGGGTCGATAACTCCTCTACGTGACACGAAGCTTTCATTTCTGCTTTTTAATTTTTCAATTACGACGTGATCTACATTTATGATATAATCGCATCAACTTCCTTTTTTACATCAAATTTTAATTTCAAAATTTTTATTATGTGTTACATTTTTTTTGCAATGAATAATTTATAAATTTGAGAGAGAAAAAAAGAATTTTTAAAAAATACTTTTTTTGACATTTGAGATAGTGTATTTTTGTAGAAGAATTCCAGTAGGTTTGAAAGAAACCTGACTCTGAAAAGAAGTCTCTGGTATACCTTCAGTAATGGTTATCGACGTGATTCGTTATCGAAGGGGACGGGACTCGTGGGACCTGGTTCAAAACGTGCTTCCGGTGCACCGGAAGTGGATGTCCCGAACGACACATAGGTATAAGTCCGTTTTTCCTCCCTTCACAACCTTTCGGATCGATGCAGCTCTACCATAAATTGGGATTGCAGGTTGGTTCTCAAGGTCGACAAAGCCAGTTTCTTCTTTTCGTTTCAATATCTCGCAAATGGATTCTTAATAGAAATCCTCGTTCTCTAACGTATCTTAAGAATCATCTTTAAAATACTACTAAATCTTATTTACGATCCCATTACTCCATTTCGAGACTTATACTCTTGTTCATTTATCATATTTTTCAGAATTATGTAGTTTCAAAA